AATTCGTTAACTGCTCTTTACTTTAGAACCTTACTTTGAAGCCAATCAAATATTAAAAATTTGGAGCCATTATATACTCGTATTTATTTTATTCTGTTTTGTAGTATTTTTTTGTTACAGCGGCAACAGAAATTCATCATCTGTGAAAATCTCAACTATCTGACTATCACGCTTCATGAGATACAGCCTGGTGACAGCAAAAAATCACGTTTGTTGTATGAGAGCCCCCCTAAATATTTGTTTTATTAAATTTTTCAATATTTATTGTTCATCATCATCATCAGCCCTTTTACGTCCCACTGCAGGGGCTCAGGCCTTCCTTATGGATGGTTAAGGAGGATGGGCCATGACCCTCCATGCTGGCCCAATGCGGATTGGAGGGTATTAACGACTGCAAATGCAGCCGGGACCAACGGCTTAACGTGCCTTCCGAAGCACGGAGTAGCTCGAGATAATAATTTTTTGGTTACCCATCCCGTGACCGACCCTTGCGAAAGTTGCTTAACGACTACGATCGCGGGCCGCGGTGCTTATCCACTACGCCACCGAGCTATTTATTGTTATAGCGGCAATGTATTTTTATACATTATCTGTGAAGATTTCAAATCTCTAATTTTTACAATTCATGAGATATAGTCTGGTGACAGACGGACAGACAGCAAAGTCTTATCAATAGGGTTCCCGTATTACCCCTTGGGTACGTAAACCCTAAAAAGAAACAATTCTCTATATTTTCTGCTTCTAATAAAAAGAAGCCAAATTATTCATAATTGGATATCGTCTCTAACAATTTCATTGTTAATAGTTTAGTTAAAGCTTAGAATTCATTAAAATTATTTAGTTAAAATAAGTTAGTGTAAGTTAAGTTTCCGGTTATTATAGAACGTGACGCTAACAGTGCAGCAGGGCTTAACCGGGTTTTAAGTTAAAGTTCAGATGATGCTATATAAGTTATTAGTAAGAAAATTGAAATCAATTTGAAAAGTTGGTTTTCAGTTTGATTTATTGATATTTTTAGACATTCAATATGTTTTCATTTATTTCAATGATATTTTGAACAGTTTTGAAGTGTAACAAATTTGAATTTAATTTCAACTCATCAGACCAGCGTAAAACAGATTTCTGTTGGTGCTGAGAAGGAGCAGGAGTTTTTGAACTACAGACATGAACAGACAGAAATAATTACGCATTAATTGGCATCACAAAGTGAAAGGTTATGCACAATCTCACTCTTTCCACATTTTGGCAGTTTTACTCTCAAAATGTTTCATTTATGCATCATAGAGAGAGAGTGTGTATATGTTATATGCTTTCACAGCTCTTACTATTTATGTCATAAAACATTCATTCATTTTATGTCATAATCACTAATACGAGTATCATATCAGCTGAGCTTTCATTGGAACTGGCTGTCACGACGAACCGACTATATATAAAAAAAAAAACAAGTATGGTAATATTCCTTAATATCTGCCCATTCAATAATATCTAAAACTATTTAGTATGCAAACCTTTTTTATGGATATAATAATTTCTCAAAAATTAAGATCTATGTTTAAAATAATTCTAATGTTACATACTCATATTTGGATTAACATGGACATATTTTATCCAAATTTTATCTCAATTAGTCGAATAGTTCAGCAAATTGCATATAACAGATGATCAAACGAAGGATCACTTATAGAATAAGGGTACTGTTATTTACTTATAAAATACAAAACCTTAAAAATCACTTTATTGCAACATTAAAAGTATTTTTACAGACTTCTTAAACAATATATTATGTGGTAATATAAAAAGTTTTCATGTAAAACTGTTACAGAATGACAACATCCTGTAGGTAAAATTTTTAATTGGCCATTTTATAAAGATTGTTCGGTGTACGCTTTACGCAGACGGTGTTACGGTGCCGGCTGGTGTCCACGGATTGGTTCCCGGAAGAAACGTTATAAAAAGAAAGTTATTTCGTTATTAAATCTAAGGTGAGTTGTGTTCCATACATTTTTTATGGAATAAATAATTCTCAAGTGATTTCTCTAGATTTTTGACGATTTTTTGGATGGTTGTAGGTCTTATTTACCAAACCCCTTATATAATCAAGTAAAAGTTCATAAATATAAGTAATTATATTTCAAATATTTCTAACAAATAAGAAACAATTTGAATGAAGTAAGAACTTTTAATAGTAAGAATTCTATTATTATTAGCGATTAACAATTCTTATTTCATTCCAATTCTCTTCTGTTGGTTAAAATTATCTGCTTGATTTATGCCATTTTCTCAAGTAATTACGTTTCTCGACTATAGATACGAGTGTTACACTTGAAGAATATTTATAATTTATAAAGATACATACGGTACCACAATATGTCAAATTCCTTCATTACTTAATTCTTCTTCGCTTGATTTTAAACTTTATCTACAAAATATTATAGTTTATAATCTAATGGAGAAATTTGACAGATTTGTATAACCAGACGTGCTGACTTTAGATAAATAACCTTACTTTCATCTATACCGTCATTAAACTAATCATTAATTAGACGACCTACGTAGCCTCGCCGCTCGCATTTTAATTTTTAACTTTTCTTCATCTATTATCTCAGATTCAAGAGATCCGTGTGCACAACTGAAAGAATAAACATACATAGCTGATATATTTTTTATTTATTTATTTAGGACAGCAACAGAGGAATAACAATAATTTAACTTAAAATAAATTACAAGATTGAAATCCTAATTATAGTTCCATATCCATGTAATAAAATCACTTATAAAAATTGAGACAAGTACTTTGTATAACACAGTAAGTATAATACAATAAAAACCTATTATGCTTGTGGTGAGATTCAATAACAAAATTTAAATATATGTACCTATATGATATGTAATTTAAATTTATACACATACATAAAATACCCGACAATTTTAACGTATATATTAATACTAAGCCATACTTCAATAAACATCTGGTATTAATATATTTATTTTTATTTAGAGAATAGAATAGAACATACTTTATTGTACACACACATAACACTTACAATTTCAATTGTAAAAAGGAGACGTACAAATGGCGGCCTTATCACTAGAAGTGATCTCTTCCAGGCAACTATGGGATGGAGTTAAATCATAAATGAGCTAATAATTTCTCCATATCGCTCTTTACTAATAAATATATGTAAAACCAGTCCCCGCGGAATATTAATCACTTGGCATATGACCTCAACAGTCTACAATTGAATTAAACATGCTTAAAAACTCAGCCAAATACGAGTAGGACTCGCACATGAATGGTTCTTTAATGAAAAGAGAAAAAAAAACACGTTTGGTGTATGGGAACCCTTAAATGTTTATTTTATTCTGTTTTTTAGTATTTGTTATTATAGCAGCAATAATATATTATTATTTGTGAAGATTTCAATTATCTAACTATACTTGTTCGTGAGATACTGGTTACAGCAAAAAGAAACACGTTTGTTGTATGGGAGCCCCCATTAAATATTTACTTTATTGTATTTTTTATTATTATTTCTGAGGCAGCAGTAGAAATACATCATCGGTGAAAATTCCAACTGTCTACCTTTTTCGGTTTATGAAATACCTGATGACAGACAGATAGCGAAGTCTTAGTAATAGGGTTCCCAGTGTACGGAACACTAAATCCACACAAAACAAAAATATTAGACCCTGTCCATAAAATAAGTACGAATTAGACGCGTATTATTATTCAATACTCGTTCGTAACAAAGACTGTTACACATTAACGCAACAGTTTTTCTTACCAATCAGTAATGCATGAGCAACATAGTTACGCGGCAGTCTGACGGGAGATGCGACGCGTATTCAACAGAACTGTCAAATATATAATATGACATTTAATTTACACACTCGACGAAAGATCCATCGCATATAATGCGTACTTCTTTTTTTTTGAGACGCTTAACGGATTTTTCAGCAGATTTGCACCGATCCTAGTGAAAGCCTGGCTTCTAATTCTAAAATCCTGAATTTGCATTAGACTTTTGGACTCTCGAATCCTCAGATGTGATGCATTTAGTTCATTCAATCAGTAAATTAGTATATTCTGAAATCTTGCTATATTCCACCGCACATTTTCTTCTAATAGGCAGACTCGACGAAAGATCTGGATCGGTAAGGTCCTGGAGTGGCGACCGCGTACCGGGAGACGCAGTGTTGGTAGGCCCCCCACAAGGTGGACCGACGATCTGGTAAAGGTCGCGGGAAGCCGCTGGATGCGGGAGGCGCAGGACCGATCGCTTTGGAAATCTTTGGGGGAGGCCTATGCCCAGCAGTGGGCGTCTCTCGGCTGAAGTGATGAGGCAGACTGCATCATAAAATGCTCACAAAAATTGTAGTTAAATAAAAAACATAAAACGCTTTTACCTTATCGAATTAAATCAATATATACCGTTAGGTCATGAGTCAGGAAAATTTAAAAGTTAAAACATGTTGACGTTCAGTTTGCCCTTTATACAAATAGAATTGACCATTATGCACATAATTATACGACCCACGTTCATACACCGCTAACATTGATGAATCGTATATGAGCATACCAAATATAAACAAAAAACTTTTGATAGAGCTGGCATCCATGGCTCATAATTGCACGTTTTATCCAAGAATATTTAAATACTATTATTTAATTAGATGAAACAATTTTTTCAACTATTTATGAGTTATTTATAAAATGTTGATATACAGAATTAATAGAATGTAATCAGGAAACTTTGTAGAAAGACTAAAAACTATTTGGTAAATATTTTCTACTTGGTAACTTGATTCATTCGACTTGTCTGAAATGTAAATTGCAAAATTTAAGTTACACAAATCTACAGTCTCTGTACTAGAAAGAATTCATCAGATGACCTATTTTAATATATTTAGGGATGGATCGTGAAACTAGATTTCCACATTTGACTGTCATGTAAGCTGAAATCTGTCAGTGACTTTGACTTTGAACCTGTCAACAGATGGCACCAACCACATTACCCGAGGACAGGCTGACGTCCGGCCACCGGCTCTCTCATCCGGCGCCCGGTGATGAGGTCTACATCACCGGTATATCCGGCTACTTCCCGGACTCTGACTCAGTCATGGACCTGCAGGAGAACTTATTCAATAAGGTACCGTTCCTTTTTAATTTAAGTAAATGCAATCTCAGTTTAGTGTCTACTCTACAAGTTTTGGATGTACGAAGTATTGTGAGATTTATTAGGAAATTTCCCTCTTAGGTGGACTTGATATCGGGAGACGACAGACGCTGGAAGCTGGCCCATCCAGAAATCCCGCAAAGAACAGGCAAAATCAACAACGTCAACAAATTCGATGCATCCTTTTTCGGTGTACATTATAAACAAGCTCACACCATGGATCCTATGTGCAGAATTTTGCTGGAGAAAGCATACGAAGCTGTTGTTGATGCTGGTGAGTAGCAAAAAGGTTTTAATGATAAGGATTTAAGATTTCATTTGACGCGAAAAGAGTACGCTGATAGTGGACATATATATTTTGGGAAGCAATGCGAGTAGCTATAAAAGTTGGCGAATATCTATGAGACGAGCTTTGAATGTCAAGGAAACGAAACAGAAAGAAAGAAACGAAAAAAGAGAAAGAAATATGCCTATGTCTAATCTTCTCACCGGATCCCTCTAAACCTTAATAATAAATATAGTATCTATCTAAAGTTTTGATAATTATTTTATATGTAACTCAGGGTCAGGTATCAAGTCGTTTTAAAAAATATATTATTGTTAAATACCGTTTTTAAGTTAGGGCAAGCCGCTAATACATAATACAAGCTGTGCCCGCAACTTCGTCCGCGTGGAAAGTATTATAAGTTACTCCTTATTACATAAACTATCTGCTGGTGTGAATGTCTCGTCAAAATCGGTCCAGCCATTTCAGAGATTAGCAAACAGACAAAAAATGTAAAAAAATGTTTTGGTAAAAGTCATACTTATTTTAACATTACAAACAGACATTCTCTCTATGTGGTCAAAGTTTGTAGTAAAAAATATAAATAAAACAAACATTAGTAAATAATCAAAGGTAAAAAGGTAAAGGGTTATAATATTCGTGTAATAGCTCAACCACATACTTAACTTGCATAAACTCCTTTGAAGTAATGGGACTAAAATCCTAGAAAATTCTTTTTGGCAAAGCTGTTCTCAGAGGAGGCACTTTTACATCTAAAATCCTTTGTTAAACCTGTACGTTACTGTACTCTAGACTAGACGATATACGACAAAGTATAAATATTCTGTAACGAGTCCACGGCTAAAGTGGGATCGGAGGAAAAAATGGAAGCTAAAGTTGGCCTACTCGATTTTGATAAGTGCCATCCGTATTACTTACCGTAGACGCCCCTTACACCGTTACATTGTCGATTTAACCTGATATATTTCTTATATATTGTGATTTAAACGCAACTTTTATGTTTGTTCAAGTTTACGCAAATCTCATCGCATCGTAAATCTCCCACGTGTGTCAATATATATGATAAATAAATTCTTTATTTGCATCTTAGTTATCATGTTAGCCGTTATCACATATTAGCAAGAAACCGTAACTATTGTCTCGTGCAACAGGACAATTTATTAAAAATAAATTATTAAAATATAAAACTTAGCTCAAGTTGAGGTTGAATAAATGTACCTCATTTGCTTAACCTTGTCACGATTAGTCCAATCGCGAATCGGGCTAATAGAGAAATATGCGAACAAATAATTGAACGAACTTACATAGTCTAAAATGAATAAGGTAGACGTTATCCTTTTATTATATTCTACTATACACTATACGCCCGCGTGGTACTATACGTGTATAGAAGACGGTTTATAAGGGATCAACTATAGATTATTTTTTGATAGGACAGAGAAGGGAGTCACTGTGGTAGTAAATTTAAGATTACACAGAAAATAAACACTTAAACGTTGATTTTTTTTTAAGAAGAGAAATCTAATTGACCTTCCTTAAAAGTTCTTACTCAATGTATTTAAAAATGAAATAGTTCCGAACGTTACAAGTGCACGAATCATAATATCAACACTACGCATCGGTGTAAATGAGTTTATGTTTTATTCTCTCTCCACCGACACCACCTTCTTTGTTAGTAATGAGCTCAATTTGTCTGATCGAAACTCGGAAGGCACCGTCTCTCGATAGAATTGAATTCATTACGGTCATTGGTCGAGTCGATTAACTATTCGGTTACTGTAAATCACCATAATTATCTATATTTTATTGTTTTAAATAAGATCACATACATTGCTAAGATCCTAAATTAAGTAGCTATAGCACTACTATCATGGAATGAAAAAACGACCAGAAACAGTATAGACGAGTTTATTTTCTACATTGCTTACAGTTGGGCCTTTTTATAAGACACAATTGACATCTCTCAGTCTCAACTTCAAATTAACCTTGTGATGTAGTAAATATTTACTTTGACAATAAACCTTTCTAAATATAATAAATTTATTTCATTCTAGACAAACTAAACGCCGCTACAACATTTTGCCTGTAGACCCGTTGCATTTTTAAACAGTAGGAACGTATCTAAAAAGTCGGAAACATTGGTCTACTCGGAAGTTGATATGATAATTATTTATGAAAACACGAACAAGTAGCCTCACTCGGATTCTAATCACTAAAATATTGTTCTTAAATATTATACCTACTTATCAAGCCTAGCCATTTCATTTTTTACCAACACCTAAGCATCGTACCCATCACAACAGAAACTCGACCGAGAATCCAAATCATGACCTAAGACGGTGTGCGAACCTCTCGGCAACAGAGGAAATAGGACACATTTACAACGAAAAAATCTATTTATATATTGAATTTAATTTGTTTGAACGCGGATTCCTAGAAAAAGACGGTTCTCAATTAAATCAGCTTACAAACAAAAACTGATCAAAACTCCCCAATCTAAGAATGGCCCTTGACTTATCATGAAATCCATTAAAACTTTGGTATTGGCGTAATTTTATAACTCGATATTGTCTCGATTCTCGAACATTCTGCAGTAAGAAAGATTCGTGGATTTGATATTAAACTAGGACCAGAGATTGGACGAATTTGTTTTTTAAACCATCTAAATATAGATGCTAAAATAAAACGGAAAACTTAATCAAATATTATAACCATATAATCCAGTGGAGTGTGAATTTTGTATATTTCAATAATTTTTTTTATGTAAGTTTTAATTATATTTGCAAGACAATGTATCTAAGTCGTTTACTAATTAACACAAAAAAGCATTGCCTGACACGTTGAGAAAAAAGTTTATTAGAAATGTCATGACTGTATAGACTTTACTCTTTTGATTTTAACAAAAAATAAAACTCACAAAAATGTTTTTCTCTATTTGACTTATTAAAAAATTCTAATTCACACATTAATTCAAGGGTGAGGTAACAAAAGGAACGAGAATACGGTTGGCTTCCTTCATTACAATTTTGGAGGGAAAATATTTGGGTGGCGGTTGTTATTCGCAATTTAAACAATTAACTTTCAGTTTAGTCTGACTCGCCCAGTTTTAGGCAAACAGCTCTACAAAATTTACTCCAAGCAAGAAAAATTTCATTGAATCATCGAAATATTACTTTGTGCATATGTTAATTACCATGATCTTAATTCTAGTGATGTGACATAAGAGAAATTAATTACATTAATCTACTAACCATTGTCTATCTTTTATTATCACTGAATACTTTGTAATAACAATAAGATAATAAGGTGACCGTGTATTTTAACGTAACAAAAACTATAATCAATCAAACATCCGAGAATTCGAAAGAAACAAATTCATGTTAATATAATTTTTCAAATTGAATTATTCATCTGAAAAATGTAAACACAATATCAAGAACAGAGACTGAACATTTTCTATATCAAAAAAACAACACTCATTCCAATTGAAAGAAGGTAAAACACACGTTACGACGCCGTGAGACTTAAAAGGTTCTTATAATATTAATAATACGTGTTTTATCTGTTATTCCGGAATCACTCTTCCCGTTGAGGAAGTTTGCTGTCAATCTTTGGATTTACATGTCTTGTTTAATATGAATCCCTATGAAAATACTGTTTTTGTATTGAGTCAGAGAAAACTACACTGGACAGCAAAACTAAGTATCACACTTTTAAAATGGCAATAACTTTTTAAGTACACAAGATACACAACGAAATAAAAAGGACTCGAAAAAGAATTTAATTTAGTAAAATAAAGTAAATAAAGCTGATAAAATTTACTATAACATGGTATTTATTTTAAATCGCTAAACTTATATAGATTACAAAAAAAATAGGTTTCAAAAGTGTGATACATACTTTTGCAGGTCAGTGTATATGCATAATTGAGCAATACAAACATATAATATGATAGGTAGACCAAAAACATTAAATAAAATATATTGAAACTTGCTACAGAATCCAAATAAAATTATAACCGTTACTTTGAACAGTGAAATGTGTGTAAATTAATACATTTTTAAGTATATTTATATAATATACATTTAATATATTATGCATGTTAGTTACATTTAAAAAAATGTATAACCTAAAATCGTCTCTGAAAATACATAAATATTGATAAACTTAGACACACATGCTGCGTGATGATTTTTATAATTTATGTAACAAGACAGAAGATAACGTTTTCATTCAAATTCGATGCAAACTAAAAAAAAGTCTTAACAATTCGATAAATATATTAGTTTTTTAACTTTTTTGCTGCATATATTTGTTAAGTGTAAGCGACAGTAAGGGTAATTTTTATATGTACTTAAACATTAACATTGTATGTATATCTGAGTCCATAGCCATTGGTTTAAATTAAGATTTGAGTACTCTTTTGTAGTTTATAATTTGTATCAAGTAGAACTAAATGTTTGACGAGCTCGATAATGCAGTGGTTAGCGCGTTTGGTCTGCGATACGATTGCTAAGCAAGTTTTGCGTCTGTTTATTATTCTTATATAAAAAGTATAACAATTCTAATTCAAATTCGCATTCTCTACCGGTTGTACACCTCTAAAATAAATCCTCTTTTATAAAATAAAAAAAATAAAACCAAAGAGTTTGAGTGGCCGGCTTTCCGTATTGGCCACTTGAAACGCCATTTATATTTTAACGCACGGGCGAGCGGGATTTCCAATTTTGAATAGGTTTTTATGGTTCGAATAGGTATTTTATTTTTTTCCGTTCAATCGTTTACTGCAGTTTACTGGGCTGTTTGTACGATATCCGAATTGGCGGTCTTTATTCTGTAAATTATATAATATTTGTCTAAACAATACGAATCAAAAACATAAGAAAACTATCTTCTAATAAAACACAGTCGCTTCTCGCTATCTGTAAGGTGAGATTTTTAAACTACTCGACGAATTTTAATGTGATTTTCGTCAATATACAGAGTGATACAAAGTTGAGTGAAGGTTTGATGTATAAAATAGGACAACGCGGGCGAAGCCGCTGGTGGAAAGTTAGTACAGAATAAAATTTAAAATTGAGGTTCTCAAGAAGCGATTCGGGTCCATTATCTTTCGTAATAAAACATATTAACTAGCATTTTGAATATAAATTGTATCAAATAATCACCCGATCTCTGAGGATAGTTTCGAGTATTTATGTTTTTTTCCTATTTAAGGTTTTTTCTTAATCGAATATAATAAAAAAGTTGCATTACATTTTTTCCACGCCTTAAGCGGAATATTAAATTTTCTCGAAATATTTCTTTTAAGTTCATTTATATCTACCGACATTGAACGTGTCAGACATATGTGGGCACAGGCATAATATTAGTTTTCTACATAGTGTCGTCTATTACCGTATTGATATCTATAGCGATTCGACCGCACAGACACGCACAGACAGACACGGACGTATGCTGTTGTCTGTGGCTATATGCCGGGCAGTGTCTATTGAAGTCGGTGTCTGTAGATTATAAAATACTTACGTATTATATACTTCCATGGTCAATTGGTGCTTCTGTTAAAAATCCTGATTGACAGAAGAAGATTGAAGTGGATGTATGACATTAGTAAATGCGTCGAATGCATGCAATATGTTGCGTGTGTTGCGTGCGTGTATAACCAGTGGACGTTCACCTTAAATCTTTTACATTCTTCGAATCTGCCTTAATAAGTTGAAAATATCATTTTAATGTATGATATTTATAGAAATGTTTTTCATTATGGTTTTATTTTAACAGGATTGAATCCCAAAGAGTTGCGCGACACGAAAACTGGCGTGTTCGTCGGTGCATGTTTCTCCGAATCAGAGAAAACATGGTTCTACGAGAAAATGCAAGTTAACGGATTTGGTATCACAGGGTATGTTATTACCATGGAATTTTTTAAAAGTGCACCAAATTTAAAAGTTGTCTTTTGATTTATGTTTCGTAACAGGTCTGCTATTCTGAAAAAAAAAAAAAAAAAAAAAAAAAAATATATATATATATATACCACTTCACATATATAGTGTAATGGCAATCTGTAACAACGAAGGTACCACAAAATCCAGAGCCGAGACAATATATAAAAGTTCGTTATCTATATTGACACGACCGGCAATCGAACCCGCGACCTCAGAAATGGCGACACCTTCAAATCGGCCTGCGAGTCACTCGGTGACAAACTTTCGTCAAACATACATCGTCAAACTTGTCAACCAGCAGGCCTATTCTGATAACATTAAGGTAATAATCGCATCTCAATAGAATCTCAACGACTTGAATTTTTCACGTAGCAAAAGTACCAAATGGTATGGGTCCCGTTCGTTCGGGAGTCCCGCGCTTTTGGGGCCCCCCCATGGTCTTACCAATAAAGTAATTTTTCAACTCAGTGATAAAAAAGCAGGAAATAAAATAAGCCACGCTTCTGCCTTATCTCATATTTTTAAGTATAATCATTAACTGAAAAATAAATCTCAAGTCACAGATTAGTTGTGTTGTGTTATTTAGAAAGTAAAGGACGACTTTTCTGTTTCGTTTACAATGTTACTAATTCAGATTATTCGTCATCGTTAGCAAGATATATTAGGTGATTGGAAGAATTTGCTATAAAATGTTATAAAATTTTGTTTTATTTCAATTGCTATATACTTAATTATTGTCGAGCAAACGGTGGCAAAAAATTGCCACAGGCCCCGCTCTTTTTTTTGACGCTGGGAAATGCATTTCTGCATACCCCGAGTCGCCAGCGTGGCTAACCGGGGTTATGTGGGGTTCCCCCCTAGTCAAAGAGCAGGGGTATACCCACTAAAACCCAGCGATGTCCCTCGCATGGAAAGCGATGCACGGGATCCGCCCGTAGGCCATACACCGCGCGGTTCGCCCCCATTTCGGCCCGCCCTGAAAAGGGCAAGTCCCTCTGCGGGTTGCGGTCTCAGAGACATTCGAGACGCACCCCCAGACGAGGCGGAGTGCAATGCCCGACCAGTAGCCTGATACAAATACGAGAAAAACGGAAATAATTCTGGAATAAGCCTGGAATATTTTTAATCGAGTTTGTGAGTCAATTACAAGAGAATATATTTAAGAATCTATCTCATTTTAGCTACGGAAGGTATAAAAAAACATCAAGTCAAAAAAAACTTCATTTCCTTCACGCAAAATTACTAATACGACTTTTTTCACAAATTTTGGTTTTATTTATCATAGCGACAATGAAAATTACTGAAATCCAACTAAAAAAATTACAGGAAATAGTTTTTTTAAACTTTATTTTTAATATTTTTTATTTTTTAGTAGTTTAATATGATAAAACTTTTATTTAAAGTATTTCTGAGTGGATTTTAATGATTTTTAGTAGTGTTTAACTCAAAAGTCTGCTGCATATATTGCGTGTTATATTTTTGCTTCATAAATAATTATAAGGCTATTGGTATGCAATATTCCCATAGAAATTTTCATTGGATTAAAAACAAAATATACTAAACGCAATTTCATAATATCGATTGAAGTCGTATTTCATTTTTATTAGTGATTTTTTTCAAATATTTTTTAAATATTTATTGTCCGTGTTGTATAAAAATATGAGTTTCCAAATTTAATATTAGGAAGATTTATGTATTTCACGGAAGTAACATAAGTAACAGCGTGAAAATACGTAGAAGTCCTTTTATTACATTACAAAGCTTATCATGCCATTGAGAAATTAAAGGAATTTTATTTTCTTTACTAATAATCCAAAAGAAAATGTCGTTGAATTAATTCATATATTAAAAATGAAATATATGATACCCGCCTAATAAAAAAAACAGCTGTTATATTTTAATGTTTGATCTCCATACTGGAAGTTGCTATTTGTATAAGGCTACAGCACGCAAACCAATCAAGCTGCCCCCGCAGGCCGCTCTCTGACACAATCTGGTACTGGGTCTATGGTCCAATATTATTAATGCAATGTCTTCTTTATACGTTAATGGTGACAGATATATAATAATGGCGGACTTTCGGTTGTTAGTACAATGGCAAAATGCAAGTAGATTCTGTTAAGATGCGATTATTAAGTAAACTTTTAACTGTTATATTCACAAATATACCTACTACAAATATACCTCATTAAAGCTCAATAGACGTTTATATAATTGACTATGAACCGACCAATTTTTATATTATGTCTATTACATATATATATATATATATTTAATTTTGTTTCTTTTTTTTTTGACACTTTGGCGAGTGCCATTGCTTCGTGGATAATAGAATTGTGGAAATATCACTAGTTTTATTTACACATCCAAGTGCCCACACCATTTTCTCGTCACCTCCGTCAATAACACCTACAATATATAGCAATAGCATGTCAGCTATCTAAAAAAGGTCCCAAATCTCCAGACGATTATAACTTAATATTTTGATATTTTAATTCAAAATTTATTTTGTATATCTAACCTTTTGAATTTAACTGCGCTTCTGTGTGAAATATAATAATGCATGATTTAAACTGAAAATTCAAGCGAGAACTTACACTTTGAGTGTAATTTAGTTTATCTCGTCTAATAGTTTCACTTTGAAAGCTATTTCGGTTTTGAAGTTCATTATTTAAGTATTTTCTTTTACAATCCTATAAATATATTATGAATTTGAGTAAGTAATAAAATTAGCATTCTGAGTATCTAATATATATAGTCTGAGTATAGAGTAATTAATATCTATATATATAATTAATATAAATTATCTGTTAATTGATAGCAGATTATTTCACATTTTTTAGAAAATTACAAATAACAGTTTTATTTGTTTCATTTAGGTTTAGAGCAAGTTTTTTTACATCATATAACTTTCGAGTCATAAAAAGTTCTGTCATAAATGTGCGACATGTAATTCAAGTTATAAGAACGGCTCAAAACATAAATTGATAAGTGGTTGATAATTTTATTCGGAGCTCGATGGTTAGCGTGTTTGCGTTGCGGAAGTTAAGCAACTTTCGTTAGGGCCGATCATAGGATGGGTAACCAAGAATAAATGATCTGGAGCTCTTCCTTGTATCGGAAGGAACATTGAGCCATTGGTTCCAACTGCATGCCTAAAATGCATTGTGTCATTTATTATTCGATTCCATCTTTAGGAAAGGCCTTAGGGGAAGCCCGTGGGGAGCTTGGATAGTGACTATGATGTTTTTTTTATATAAATTAACATTCTTATTTGCAGCTGTTCCCGCGCTATGCTTGCAAATAGAATCTCCTACTGGCTTGGCGTAACCGGCCCGTCTTATACCGTCGATTCAGCTTGCTCGAGCTCTTTATACGCTATAGAACATGCGTTCAGAGCGATCCGTGATGGTCACTGTGATGCTGCCATCGTAGGAGGGTCTAATTTGTGTTTGCACCCTTATGTGTCACTGCAGTTCTCGAGGTAAGATGATTTATTATGGTTACTCTGAAATATGACTTCGCGGGGGCCGGATGGTGGGAAAATTTTGCCTAATAGATCCTAAAAGCAACAATTATGAATAAATAATGTAGTCGGAATGGTGAGGACAACTGTAAGAAGACTAAATAATAATTATTTAGCCGGATTGTTGCCTGTACCGCAGATTAACCGATGGATTTGTATGAACCGAGTTGCTGTAGAAACTTTGTAAGCGCAATTCAATCTTTATGCAAGCACTTGCCGTTGATTGATGTGACGATGTTGTCCGGATTGATTGACGGTCGCTGATTGATTAAACTATTTACTATGTTCACAGATTGGGAGTGTTGTCTCCGGACGGAAGGTGTAAAAGTTTCGACATCAGCGCTAATGGTTACGCCCGCGCAGAGGCCGTTGCTGTGTGCTTCTTACAAAAAGCCAAAGATTCTAGGAGGTAATTAATTTATATCAACGAATAATCAATTCTGTAACTAAAAAGCAATTCTTGCAACATATAATATATTGTCCAAACATTAAGAAGAAGAACAGAAGAAGATAGAACTTAGATAGAAGATAAAGAATCTTTACGCCAGATCCCTTGTGAGCAAAAAGAACTGAGCGTCAGGAACGGCCTTTACGCAATTATTTTGTTTTCCTGATATTTTTAACACTTTTAATATAGTGCTCTCTTGTTTTTGTTGTTTCAAATATCACTTTTCTATAATAGGCGATCAATGTATTAATCTTAAACTTGTGTCTTGGCTGTTCTATGCTTCTACATTAGCTTTATATATTAGTTTAATCAATTTTACTTTCACATTTTTTCCATTTATATAAAAACATCCCTCTGTATCATCAATATATTCCTTATCTCTTCATTATGTACTAAACCGGTTTTCTTGAAATTCTATGTAACACTTGTATTTAGACTGCATATTTGCAGTTGAGTTGAGTTGAATTTATCAGAGCGAGCATCTGATAAGCCCAACTCTCGCTTTTAAATATTAATACTGAAAGCAGCGTATTTATTTTACCAAAAATTGTACACAGAGTATACGCACAGCTTCTCCATGCTAAGACTAATTGCGATGGATATAAAGAACAAGGCATCACATATCCTGCTGGTCACATCCAAAAGCTTTTATTACGGGAGTTCTATGAAGAATGCTCCATACCACCATCCTCCTTGGAGTTCATTGAAGCTCACGGAACAGGTAAAGTTAATAACGTCAGCTAGTTTTTGTGACTTTGCTTAAGTAAACTATAGAATAAGACACCCGCTTTAATTTCCCGTAGGTTAGAGTCGATCCAATCATAAAAAATCGGCCCAGTTTTAGAGAAATCAAATGTTTTAAATGTTAGAATAGAAATTGGATTACAATATAAGTTATTTTATCATACGTATATAAAAATTATACTTTAATGTATATATAGTTCTTCTACGAGATTCATGTTTCTATTCTCGATGAAAAACTTTGAGATGAGACTCGAACCCATGACCTTTTACAATCCAGGCTTTAACCACTGAGCTACCCATAGGACCTAACGAGAGCACCTAACGGGATTGACGAATTTTTCACTTATTACTTTTTCACTGCTACAGAGCATATTTTTTCTTGAGATCAAAAAAACGCCAAATCCCAAGAACGCTTTGAAGAGACCGTTCCAAGGAGCAAGCGCTTCCGAATACAGTTCGCGTGCTCTAGAGGCGTTTACATCAAGTGAGCGAGCATTCTTGGAATGTTCCGTGGAATCTTTTTAATTAATTTTTAGGTTATTTTAATTAAAAAGATAAATTAGCACATAAGATATATTTTTAAAAACCTTTTATAAAATAGAGAAGACAGTCAGCAATAGCAATAAACAATAACTGACAAAGTCATATAAAATTGAAACTAAAAAAAAAAAAACATTTAAAGTAACTGGCAAACGTCGTCAACAGTAAGAAAGTTATATTTAATTGAAGCTTTATGACATAACATCGCTGCGATCAACGGAGAGTTGAGGCTGTTTTTAACAGAACAGTATAAGAATTATGCTTTAAGTACTAACATCATTGCACCATCTTTAATTATATTTGTAAAAACTGCCTCTACCATAAAAGATAATGGCACAAAAGCTAATTCACTCATTATACCACCGAGAGCTATTCAAATATTTCAAACTTTCAAATCGTCGCTTAACTTCATCTCTTCAAAAGCACTTTTAAAGACTTTTGTCCTTTATAATCATTGTTGTTCTCGTAAAACGAAAACAAAACGAGCTTTTAGATATCTTTAATAGATAATAGAATTTTACGTTAAGGAGAGGTTTTAGTAAAAACACCTTTTTTTGACGTATTTAAATTAGATATATTTGCGAGTAAAATTCTTATTCATTATAGTCCAAGTATTTGTAAAAGTCGAAACTCTATAACATCGGTGCGTAAATATATAGCGGACTTTGTATCGAGAAGAACCGCCAAGACACAGCTAGAGCTGTATTTTCTTTCTGTTTTAATAATTAAAATATTATTTTAATTGAATATTTTTTAAATACATGTTGATATTATTATTATTATTATCGTCCGAGTCGCGGGCGGCCGCTGCATGCAGCTGGCGCAATGTCGTCCGTCGTGGCATTTAAAGGGGGAGGCCTATGTTCAGCAGTGGACGTCTTCCGGCTGATGATGATGATGATGATGTTGATATTTGTAGGTGCCTTACATTTTGCTGAGCTGCTGATCCATTGGACACCTAATATTCTCACCCATGTTTATTTATTTATTTTTTGCAACATATCTTAGTGGCAATAAACGATTATTCTGTTCTACTCGTATTATATTTTAGATTTCGGTGTAGGCGCCCTTTAAGGTCTCGCTACGACGACAACATAAAATTAAAATGTTCAGTTTTTATATCTGAGTTAACGCCATTGTTCAGGACACAAAGAATTGTGATAAACCTCTCTTTTGATGGGAAAACAAAAAGTAGAACGATAGAGCTTTACCGTCAGCTGAAAGGTGAATTTCCCTTTCTCGCTTTGACTTTAAGTGGATTATTAATGATCTTAAACACAATTGAGGCACAACGAGGGGTGTTTGTTGAAATTAGGTTAAGCGATTGTCTACTTAATGGGCTATCATGATCTATTAATTCGAATGACAAGTTTATATAACAATTAGCTTACATTGAAACTTTGTATGAAAGCAAAATGATAACAAGATGGATTCGGTAGGTCAATTAATGAAAATAGCGTATTGATTTTTTAGTCGGTAACTCTATTCTAAAATCTATATTTAATTTTGTGAAGTTGCTTTATTAATTTGTACAAAAACTAAGATAACATAAGTAAAAATATAACAGTAAAAGAAATGTATTTATATTTATACGTTTATACGGAATAATGTGTACATAAACCCAAAGTTTTTTTTTTGTGTTCATAGTATGTAGTACGCGCATGCTCGCTAGTCGATTTGTTTAATTTATCACAATTTAAAATTATTATGTAATAGAGATACTATTACTGAAATTCACCTTAAATGAAACACAAACGTCCTCGAGATAGTCCAGAGTAAAATACACGAAGTTTTTTTTAATAAGCGAGAGTCTCTTTACAAGTGTTATGAACAGACTTTGCTGTCCAGTATTTATATTTTTTTTTTCATTGAATTTTGTTCTTTGTTACAACTGGGAAATGGACTGTTGTTTGTAAGCGACATTTATTAAATACTAGTATTATGTCTTATTATTTTTTTAAGACAATTTACTCCTTTTGTTTATAAAGAGTCTGAATAGCTCGATGACGCAATAGTGCGTTAGGTCTATAATGCGAAGACTAGACGACTTTCTCAAGGACTGAAACAGGATGGGTGACCTAACATTTATTATCTCTTACTTTACCGTGTGTTGAACGAAAACTGTATCCCGGCTGCAACTATAGTCATTCTTAGTAGTAAAAACTAACCTTTCCACAATGGGTCTGCTTGACGAGTTACTGGCAGTTCTCTTTATAATTAATACCATTCATAAAAGAATTTATTAAAATATAAAAATAAATTCCTAATTGAAATACTTATTAACACTGTGTATAAAATTAGAGATAAATATGGATAAGAAAAGCATTAACAATTAGGCAGCTATAAATCAAATAAAGTACAGACAGCAATAATATTATACTGTTCTGTCGAAGTTTAGAATTACTTTTATTAAAATCATAATAATGCTTGTATATAAATAATATCCATTGTAAAACATAAAACGCGCGTTGGTAACATTTTAGAACAACTCGTTATTCAGTGATGTTCATTTTTAGAAAATACAAGCTTTCACAGCGATGCCCTTTTTTCTGCGACCGTTGACAATTAGTTTTTCTTTTGCTCACATCTATCAGTTCTGTTCTTTTGCTCAGTGCGGGAATCAGGAACATAATATTGTATAGCCTGATGTAAACATATTAGTGATATGATAAAACATGCTTATTGAGTTTTATTTACTAGCAGAGTACTAGTAGAGTTTAGCCTTGTAGATCTTATTAATTGTTTCACTACTTTCGCGTTTTGCTTAAACAAGTAAAAGGAAGAACGTGTTTTAATTATCAAAAAACGAAAAATTTGGTTATGTTTAACACAGATTTTGGTTATGTTCTGTGAAGCATTAGTTTTGTAGAATTAACCATTATTTCTTTACATATTTACTGTTAATTTCAAAGTATCAATGTATATTATGGAAGTTCTCCTACATTTCTCAAATGCCAAATTATTATCAGATTTCTATAGCACTTTACATACATTGCCAAGAGGTCAAGTACTGAGTCCATCCCTGGGTTTTTGTAGTGTTTACTCTTGGGGTGCAAATTATATGAAACCTGATGATAGTTACACAACAAAACTTACACATCGCACTAGTGAAACAGAAAAATATAAAGGTCCTTCCGCACTTTTCATGCCACAATGGTTTGCTGGTAGACTCGTTTGCAAATTATTACCGCGCCTTTTAATATTCGTTCGTTAGTATTTTTAGATTTCTACTGTTATAACGAGCTTTGCTTTCCAGGAATATTGTCGATTGCTCAAATATTTTTTGTTGTAATATTGTATTATTTATTTCCTCATCAGATTTATTTAATCAAGATTTTTTGTACCAACTAAATAGTATTAAATTGCCAACTGATTTGTAGGAGTATTTGTAATTAAAACACTAGATTCTGCAATATAATATGTAGTTAAATAATATAAAGATGAAAGATTTGATTGCTTGTTTGCTTGCTTGCGTTGAATAGGTACCGCAACTACTTGAGTATTTTTTAATTCTTTCACCTATAGGAAGCTACGTCATACATGGGATATAATTAACGTCGACAATGTTGCGAAAAAAAGCTTGTATCGATAAAAATGGTGCGGTAATTGCGTGGAGTAAATGGAATAGATAGAGCTTATCACTATAGTACATTAATTTTAACGTATCTAAACGCTAAGATTTTTTTGCGATCCCGACCGTATATTGAATTCTCATAAGTGGATAATAATACGCGCGAACAATATGCTGAGCTGGAGTGAAATGGATATTTAATGCGTTATATTATACACCTAAATTGAAACAATACTCGCTGTACATTATAATTGTACGTCCGGTCATCGTTGAAATTGGTAGATCTGCTCTGCACAAATGAAGATTAACCATGTACCACATTACTTAGAAATTAATATAGCTACCATCACTATTCAGATCTCCATAATATAAGACCATTAGTTGTTTTCGGTCTTGCAAAAGCGGCCGTGGTTACGTTAAGACATTCATGTCAATGTTAGAGTTGGACACAGCTTTCGTCATGATTTCTAGCTATTTCCTTTACGTTTGTAGACTGGCACGCGATTTGGTTCCCTCTACTTTTCCCTTTTTTAGCTTTTTAAGAAATGTTTCAGCAATTTATGTGATGTTGCAATATTTATCTTTATTGTAGGCACTCGTGTGGGAGACCCTGAGGAATTGGTGGCGATCGATGAAATCTTCTGCACTGGTCGCTCGGAACCATTACAGATTGGATCCGTCAAGTCAAACCTGGGACATACAGAGCCGGCATCTGGATTGTGTTCTATTGCTAAGGTCAGTTGTAGATACAAAATGATGACGATGAGGTAAAGTTTCTACCATTCTTTATTTTGGATTTCATTGGTTCGGTAGAGGATAATCTTCGGAAATATTGATCCGATCATGAAAATTCATGCAGTTTCATTCCAAACTCTCTACCTATATCGGTAGTAAATTGCCTAGAAGTTCATAAATACACACTGTTGTTATATAATTGCCTAGATTAACATCTAATTTATACTCATTAATGCCCAATAAAGTAAATATATAAATGCATCAAGTGTAATATCTGTCATTTTGCATCACATGAACTGTGATAGCTAGACAGATGTAATTTTTACAAATGACGTATTTCTGTTGGCACTATAACAATGAAAACTAAAAACAGAATAAAATAAATATTTAGGTAGGCACCTATACAATAAAAGCTTTTTTTATATAAATATTGGTAGAGTTGTCCTTCACGTGCGTATCCGATTCACACTTGGCCAGTTATTAAGTTTTTTAATTCTTAGATCTCTCAAAGCAAAATTTTAATCAGTGTTATGGACGCACTATATACAGTTTTATTTTTGTTTAATTAAATGTTGTTTTTGGTGTTTTCTCTAGATGTGTATAGCGTATGGCACAGGTCTGATTCCTCCTAACTTAAACTATTCAAAACCAAGAGATGGTGTAGCAGCTCTCGCAGAAGGACGTCTCCAGGTTGTCACAGAGAAGACTCCTTGGAATAAAGGCATGAGTGGCATCAACAGCTTTGGTTTTGGGGGTGCCAATGCTCACGTGCTACTGAAGAATGTAGCAAGAAAGAAAGTAAGAAAGATTAAATGTAACGTAATGTTCAGTAAATAAATTTAGTTTTAAATATAGTGACACAATAAATATTTATCACGACACCACTTCAAAGATCCTTAGGACTTGTGGAATGGAATTGTGGAATTAAATTTTTAACATAAATGAAATAGTCTGATCATGTTTTTCTTTTTAAACTAATTAATAGGTAGAACACTCATATTCTGGTGTAAAAGGATAGTTTCTTACTTACCCTATGTTCTAGTGCATGTTGTATTTACCTATAAGTGTACGTGACAGTTAGTTTTTAACATAAAATTTATTGTAACTAGAATGTAATGTTGAACACGAACGTTGGCAAACTAAATAAATAAATAAAAATGTAATTTTTGCCCACATTAAAATCTATTATTCCTAATAATATATTCGTAATTCGTTTAATAGGCATGTTGACAACATTTTTTGTGTTCTACCGTCAGGAACATTGTTGAAAAATAGTAAAACGCGTATTTTTGAATTTTTTGCATAATCATTCAATTACTTTTCTACATTTTCTACAAGACTGTGACGTAGCAAGCTTCCACTCCTTAACTTTGATGCCAGTTATCTAAGCTATTACTTGTTATTCCTTTTTTTTACCCTGTCGTCTTCCCTATTAGTAAATCTTAACATTTATCAACACAGTTGTCAAATTAGGTTTAACTAGAAAATCTATGTATTTCGAATTTTTGCATTTATAGCTACACTGGCGCTTAAATATTTAAGATTTACTACTGATTTTTTCTTCCTGAATTAATTCTTGTATTACTGTACTTCATGCAAAAACTTATATGGATGAAAAGCTGATAGTTTTTTCTACTTAGATTTTAAAACTTATAGTTATTACTTACCTCGTTTTACCCTTCAAATTTAGTATTCGTAAGCAAAGAGAACGATGTCGGTCGATAGTACGCACTATTATAAATCCAGGTGATGTTATAAATTTAGAGGTACACATACATTTTATTCACCAGGTCAATCATGGCATCCCAACTGACGATCTACCACGTTTGGTCTGTGCTTCAGGCCGCACAGAATCAGCAGTTGCCAAGATCTTAGATGACCTGGAATCAAGACCAGTGGACGCAGAACTAATCAGACTTTATCACGCAATACATGACGAGGATATTATTGGTCATGTGGTTAGAGGCTACACTCTACTTGGTAAGTTTAAGATGAAACTCATCAGAAATTATATTAATTTATTTAAGTTCAACAATTTACTTACATTGCTTCTTAAATTCTCCATCTGTAGACTTTAACCCAAAAAGCTAGGAAAAGCAAAATCCATTGCGTTTTCCATAATTTAAGCACTAAGCAAAGTGTAAATAGTGTTGTAGAGTAATTTGAGATCTACAAAATATATATCTCAATTCTTGTTTCGTAGAATCAACACCAACGAAGGCAGTATCTCTTGCCCGTGAGATGCAATACTTTTCTGGAGTAAAGAGACCAGTGTGGTTTGTATATTCCGGCATGGGTTCACAGTGGGCTGGTATGGCAACACAGCTTATGAGAATACCCGTTTTTGCTGCTGCCATAGAAAGGTAAACTTTCCATAAATAATTATGATCATTTGCATATTAGAATTCATTCCTAGAATAGAATAATTCTGTATCGATTATACAAAAATATTAGTTTACTCGCAAAAATTGTCTAATACTATTTAAATAAAAAGAATGTTGGCATTTATGAGTAAAATATCACTTAACCTTGAAAATTATAACCTGAAGAAGAAGCAGTAAAAATGGAAGAGTTTTCGTGAAGTGATTCTTGATTATTTGTTTTATAAATCATTCTTCACCTACGCATGTGGGATATATGGTTAAGAATACGTTAGTAGACTTTTATTTTTATTTATTTTGAGACTCAAAAGTATATATTAGTATTTTTGTCAATTAGATGCGATAAAGCCCTCAAGCCCAAAGGCATCAATCTTACCAAGATTCTAACGGACCCGGATCCCAAGATTTATGACAACATCCTCAATTCCTTCATCGGCATTGCTGCAGTTCAGATCGGTCTTACCGATGTCTTGAAGACCGTTGGTATTGAACCGGACTATATTATTGGTAATTAAACTTCTATAATTGTAACATCTTAATTTAGAGAATTCTATTTGCTTAAATGACATCTGACATTATCTATCAGCTAATCAGAGTTGCTCGGTATCCAAAGTCGGGATAAGGTGAGTTGCAAGAATTGAAATTATAAGACTCTGCGAGAGCCGTAATATTGACTCGGAATATATAAATAATATTATAATGGCATCAATTTGAGCAAAGGGGATCTGGGTTCAAATATATTTAAATGAGGTTATCAGCCACAAAGTTTAAGAAAAAAGGGAAATTTCTAAATCTTAAGCAATATATTTCCCTACTATTCATATATCCAAGTTTAATGGTATATTATTATTATTTGTATATTTTGTTACTGAGCGTTATCTAAGAATTTTTCAGTTCAGTTCAGTTCATTTGACGACCGTTATTTATAACATCATTCTTTAAAATAATGTTATGGTAAAATTTGTGAAGGTCACAGCGTTGGTGAGCTTGGATGCGCATATGCCGATGGTTGCTTCACTGCCGAACAAATGATACTGGCTGCTTATAGTCGAGGTCTCGCTTCCATTGAAACACCATTCATTAAGGGATCCATGGCCGCTGTAGGTCTCGGCTATTCTCAGGTAAATCTTGAAAAACTACTTAAGTTTTCTTTTAGGCACACGCAATTGGTTCATCAGATTCCAGTGCTAGATTCACTGAATATTCATATATTATCTTATATAATTATCTATATACCCTTTAATACTACTTCAAGCAAAAATAACCACAAGCTTATAATTTTAAACTTTATCACTTCGAGTTTAACCGATTGTACCTTTTCTTGGAGGAGCTTGATGGTGTAATGATTAGTGTGTGCGTTAGTGCGTCAATACTTTGCAAGCGGATAGGATGGGTGAACAAAAGAAAGTATTATTTCAGAATGGAAATTTAAACTATTGGTTCTGGCTGCAGTGTTTTTTTAATAGACATCTTGGGAGCGCGTGTTGTGTTATGTTCCTCTCGCCCTATTACTTTCCTATTAATTGTAGTTCATAGCAAATGTCTGAAAAGTGAGGATATTAATCCTGATGATCTTGGCTTAGAAAAATTTTAAAGAAATTACTCATAAAAGTTTTGTTTGACAAACAGATAAAAACCATGTGTCCTCCGGAAATCGAGGTAGCCTGTCGCAATGGACCCGATTCTAGTACCATTTCTGGCCCTGCGGATATTATGAAGAGTTTCGTAGCGAAACTTTCAGCTCAAGGAATTTTTGCCAAGGAAGTGCCTTGCTCGAATATTGCTTATCACTCACGCTACATCGCTGAAGCTGGTAAGTACTGAATATAAAACAAACGCAGCTTAAACATATGTTTGATACATCTATCTTTTTGTCACTTACATACTTCTAATTTTTTTTAATGTGTATATTTCCCGAGTTCGATTTACATCTCAGAGTGCCAGGCACAAAGTGGATTTTTAAACAGTATAAGATTCTGAATGCAAAATTTATCAAAAATAATAATTTATACTTAAAAATAAGCCTTCGTCATCAATAGGTCCTAGACTACTAAAATACCTGAAGGAAGTTATACCAACTCCCAAGAAGCGTACAGAGCGATGGATGTGTACATCTTTACCTCAAGCGCAGTGGAAAGATGTCAAGGCCGAATACTCTTCGGCTGAATATCATACAAATAACCTTCTAGTGAGTGAGCAGTTATACTATATAATAGTTTGAATCATTGTTAACCACTCGGTTGACTATATCAAAATAGCCACAGTTATAACATTGATTACTCTTAATATTACTTTATATATACATATATACTTAATATTACTTTTTTCCTTTGTAACTCACTGTAATACAAGAAATTCAATTTCACATTACGATTTTGGAGGATCATTTTAATCTAGAGTTATTGTTAGGTGGGTCACAAGTAAAATAATTCGTTATTTGCTCAATTCGTCATAAATATTTTCATTTGGTTCCATATATTCTGACTTCCTTATAGCATTTCCAAAGCAATAAGACAGTAACATCAATGCGGATATTATACGTATTGGAAACTGTAACATTTATTTATATTCGAATATTTAATGTAGATCCTAGACTGTACATAATTTGTGATAAAAATTACTCAACAGAGTCCAGTGTTATTCGAAGAGACATCCCGCTTGATTCATCACAACGCTATCACGATAGAGATTGCACCGCATGGTCTACTGCAGGCGATCTTACGTCGCTCATTGAAGAAAGACGTCGTCAACATTCCTCTTACCCAGAGAAATCACAAAGACAATGTGCAGGTCCTCTTCAATGCTCTGGGAAAGTATGTGAATACAGTATCTGACTAGATTTCTCCTCTTTACTATTTGAAAGCTTCGTGGGAAGATTATCTATTTCCCTGCCTTAACGTAGAGTTAAAAGTGAAGCTTCACTTGACACTTATGATTTTAGAAATGCATTTGAAATGATGACTTTAATTTGTTTTAGATTGTACGAATCAGGATTGAACCCGCATTTGGCGAACATATACCCGCATGTGCAGTACCCAGTGTCCAGCGAGACGCCTATGATTGCACATCTAGTGGAATGGGAGCATAGTGAGGATTGGTAAGATTTTAACATACGAATCTCTAGAAGGCAATCCTTCTATATTTTTGCTTTAAGCGATAGGACTGCCCATTGTTACATGATGTAGGGTCGATCTTCTTCTTTGTCGCTATATTTTTGGCAGAGTGATCGTGTTGTTTAGTAATTCTACCATTATCGTTATCGATGTCCTCACTACCTGGGCACGGGCCTGCACCGTGGATGGGAAGATGGGTCATGTCCCACCAAAGAGATCGGTGAGTGTTAGTGGCTGCAAGTATGACGCACGGAGGATCTCGACATTATATATTGTGTCACCCATCTTATGACCGGCCCTTATGATAGTTGCTTAGGTTCCGCATCGAAAACCGAAGGTGCTAACCACTGCTCAATCCTACCATACGTACGCATACGCGGAAAACCTTGTCTATAATTTACACGGGCACAGCTAGTATAACATCTATTTAATATTAAACAAACGCGCCATCTATAATTCAACCCAACATGTTATAACAAACAATTAATTACATCACAAGTTACAAACCAAACCGCCCTTACAATTAAAGTTTTAGAGACCTTTCATAACGATATACGCCAACTTCATATAAATAATTACACTCAAACAAATTTTTATTTGGCTTTGTAATAATCAAACGAATTCGAATATGAACTCCTTTTAAGTTAATAGAAAAGTTTAAAACTTCGTAAGAAGCAATTACTTAAGAGAAAACAATAATAAAAATATTTTATTTAGTTGATTTTGCGTTCACAACGCTATAAAATATTCAATCATATTTTATTTGTACGTTTTTTGACGTTTACTTTCACCGTCAATTGTGAACGCGTTAATTAAAAATTAACGGTATCTACCAAGAACTACAATCTCCATACAAACTCTTAAAGCGCTCATCAGTGAACGAGTTAACGTATAACTTACACTTACCACTCTGACATTAGTTAGTCCTGTTGGATTGCGTGCAGCTTAATGTTTTGTGACAGGTTGCGCGTTCAAATCAAATATCGGTGCCTGGTATTTTATTAGCATTTTCATTGAAATAATAAAATTAGTTTAATATGACCTTTGTCTATGAAGAATTTGGTTCAAATCAAAATCACTTACTGGGCGTACACCCAAAACCACTCGCTTTAACTGCTTTACTACAAACAATAACATCCTTAAGTTGCAGTTAAATACGAGAAAACTACATTATAATGCTAAAGGTTCTATTATATCCAAACGCGAATTTAAAAAATTTTTCGTCAATCGCCAATTTGACGCTAAAAATTAAAAAAAATCTTGAAAAATTGATATATTAGTCACTTTGTAATCGAGGCAATTAGGCAGTATTTACAGTAATCTTAACAGTTTACGAGTTAATAATTAAAAACCGTTTTTTTTTTTTCACTAATTAATCATCCTGTCCCTTTTTTAAAATGTCAATTAAATTATATTAATAATATAAATGCGTCAGTTTATGAAGATGGGTGTGCGTTGGTACTCTTTCATGCAAAATGTGTGTAATTTTGATGAAATCTTTTACAATAAAAAAGGTAATTTAGTATAGGGATAATTCTAACCCTGAAATAAGATAAAGGTAACTTTATCCCAGTAAACGATTCTTATACTTATAAATAAACGTACTTTCAAATCATCGTGCAAAACACGCGGGAAGTCCTTTTTTTAAAACTTATCTTTGTCTGCCGAAAATATCAAACATCCAGTTCGTTATTCAAAATTAACGTGTAAAAGCTGCTAATAGCTCTATCACTAACGCATTTTGAGCTATTAGTCTGTATCGAGAATATAAACGCATCAACTAGCCTTTTCAACATGATTATCTTGCACTGTATTAGTATCTACAGATATTAGTATCGCCAACTCAAATTTCTCATCGAAAGGGTTAACAGGTATATTTTATCTATTTACCCGACTGCGCGACGCAAGGGAGGGTAATGTGTTTATCAGTCTATGTATGGATGTTTGTTTCTATGTGGTGTTCTAGAGACCAAATGCGTAGGCCTATTTTGATTATTTTTACGTTAATCGATTCGTCTTAATCTTGCGAGTGTGACTGAAGACATGACAGTAATCAAAATTCACCAAACCGACAACCAGACGCCATATTGTCAAAGTGAAAAAAAAAACGATGAACTATGTCAAGTGGGGTGTCGTTGAATAGGTATTTTAAAATCATCTTCTGGTTCCTTTTATCATTTTTCATGTTAAACAATAGTTTAGGATATGTAACGATTTAAAGTTGTTTAACAAACAATATCAACTCCTTCAATGAAATGACTAGATTGTGAAATTTACCATCTTATAACGAAAAAACAAAAAACCCGACAGCGTAAAAACGAATTAAAAAAAATTTATGAACAAATTAACTTAAACAAATACTAAAAAGAAAGAAACAAAATACACACATAAAACAAATCATAAATTCTAATGCAGAACAGAACGACTCACAGTCGGGGCCCATATAAATTTTACCAATCAAATTTTCACAAGGGCCCCCGTTTTTACGCAGTCGGGATTTTTGTTTTTCTTTAAATTATTTATTTTTATTTCATACGACATTCCGTCTGCAATATGATTTCTTTCCCTTTCGCCGTCGTACTACCCTACTCAAAAAGGGGTTTACTTCGGAAAGTCCCGGAAACTTTCCATGTCCAATAAGCAGCGGCGCGTATTAATCGTCCGCTATTCGTCTCACGGCCGCAAACAAATCGTCGATACACCGCAACCGTTCGTAAGACATTTTTCAGGCACCCAACTAACTTGCCGACGAAAGTATCTCCTTTTTGGCTGACTAATGACGTCTTTGGGACCGTTTCCGGAACCTTACTTTTCTTTTTGCTACTTGTTTAGCGGTTTTGTTTCTAAACTGTTCTTATATATTAAAAACAATATATCTTATAGAAGAATACTTGAAATATCAGCAATCCTAGATACCTCGAGATGGGACTTCGAACCTATATCCTTAGCAATCACTGGCACATAAAATACGTACGAGTGTCTTTTAACTATGTTAATACGTTATACTATGTTAATGTAAGTTACTTTATAGGCAAGGCCTTAACAAAAATAGCTGTTTCTGAATTGTAAATAAATCTGGGCTGTCTCACTTTTAAGATTTTTCCAAAGATAAAATGTCATTTTTTGTGCATTTGCCAGGTATGTAACATCTTACAGAGCTCAAGAGAAGATGAAATCTGGCGAGAGGACAGTGAGAATGTCCATCGTCGATGAAGACAGCGAATACATGGCTGGACACGTGGTAGACGGTAGGATACATCACATTGTACTTAAAAATAATTTGTATTTTACAAAGAAAAATTTGTAAAGAGACATCATCAAATGATGACAATTTTACCTGTTTTTTTTTAATCAGACAAATCGAGAATTTCTCATTTAGGTATACACAGTGGAATATATGTGTTGACAATGTGATTTAGTGTGATCCACTTTAACGCTTGGGACAGGCGAGGTCGAGAGATCTAAATATGTTGTAATTTACGACCGTGCCCTGAATAATATGTTGCCAGTAACAAATTGGTCAACTTAAATTCTGGTATAACCTCAGTATACTAAGAAACATTTCTTTAACTAGTAAATGAATTTAGCTTTTTATCCATGCATGAGCACAATAAAATAAATATTAGTATTATAGATAATAATCACAAAATAGATTTATCAAACAAGGTTTCACTAAAGGTTTTATAGCAACTTATTGACTTGAATCTTATCAGCAAATTGCACTTGTCCAAAACTACGCAGTTTTATGAAAATGTTAACAAAAGTGAGGATATTATAGTAACTTATATTACCATCTCTATATATACTCTCATGGGATTTCGAAAATCTTAGATCAAAATCATTACTACCTCTTTTATCTAGTATTTCCTAATAATAACCTTCATATTCAGTAGCTCGGTGGCGTAGAGGATAAGCGCCGCGGCCCGCGATCGTTGTCGTTAAGCAACTTTCGCAAGGGTCGGTCACGGGATGGGTGACCAAAAAAATTATTATCTCGAGCTACTCCGTGCTTCGGAAGGCACGTTAAGCTGTTGGTCCCGGCTGCATTAGCAATCGTTAATACTCTCCAATCCGCATTGGGCCAGCGGGTCATGGCTTATCCTCCTTAACCATCCATAAGGAAGGCCTGAGCCCCTGCAGTGGGGACATAAAAGGGCTGATGATGATGATGAACCTTCATATCATTCACCATATTATACTCTTTAGGACGAAATCTTTACCCTGCAACCGGATACCTAGTCTTGGTATGGGAAACCTTGGGTATGATGATGGGTGAGCTGTACACCGAAGTATCCGTGGTGTTTGAGAACGTTCGCTTCCAGAGGGCCACCAACATACCCAAGGATGGGAATTTGGAATTCATTGTCATGATTCAGAAAGGAAGCGGAAACTTTGAAGTAAGTAAATGAACGGTCTGATCTCTTATGATACTAATCCATTATAATAACATTCAGAACTGTTAATTGAGAGTTCCGTTTTCATTATAATTGTTTTTGTATTGCCGACACATAAGCTCTATTTACAAAGATAAGAAAAGGTGAGCTTAAAAAAACGCTTTTGGGACTTAATATAAGTAAGTAAATGTTAAAAAATGCACTCTCTTACGGTCATATAAGCACTGTCAGCAATATATTGACAATTAACCTAACTCTTGCCCTCTTTAGATCGTAGAGAGTGGGGCATCCATTGTCACTGGTCGCATTTATGCAAAGAAAAATGTCGGCCTAGATTATCGCGTACTGCCACCAGTGCCCGAAGCTACAGGACCCGATGTTAAACATATGCTCACCAAAGACTTCTACAAGGAACTTAGACTAAGAGGATATCAGTATAAGTGAGTACAAAGACACGACTGAATAAACATTCCTATTGTTTCAAATATAAGAACTTTCGATATGCAATAGCCACAAGACTTTGAATTCTAAATTATGAATTTACAATATACATCTTGTAACTAAATAAATAAATAATAAAATAATTGCAATAAGTAACATATACGTTATATATATTGCAGTGGTCTCTTCCGTGGTGTGATTGGTTGCAACGTTGAAGGAACACGAGGTCGGCTTGCGTGGGTCAACAATTGGGTCACTTTCATGGACTGTATGCTACAGCTCAAGATCATTGGCCAAGACACTAGAGGACTGTTTGTCCCCACTAGAATAGAGAAACTGTCAATTGATGCTAATATGCATTATAATGCTATTTCAAATATGTGTGCTGACTCTAGCAAACATTCCTTCGAAGTCCGCGTCTATCCGGACGTGGATGTTATTCGGTGAGTGAATTAATATCATTATCAACTATCTTAAATATATTATAAGTTAGCAATTGAGCTAGCATTCAAGTTAACAAACTTGATAATTTTCTTTATCATCCTTGTGAAAGCAAAATATTATGATAATAATTTAAGGATGTGAAATAATTAATTGCTTTTTTTCTAAATTAGAGCCGGAGGCGTTGAGGTCCGTGGTCTACATGCTACTCCTATATCGAAGAGGAATCCACTCGGTGTACCAGTACTTGAAAAGAATGTTTTCGTACCTAACTTTGGAAACAGCAAAATGAAGGTAGTTAAGTTTAATTATATATATAGTGGAGGAAAAAAATAAGATGTATTAATGTGTAAAAACGTTAATTATCTATGAAGTTCTTACTCTGATATTTCCGACCCCAGATAGAAGATATCCTGCGAGCAGACCTACAACTTGTCTTGGAGAACATTCAAACCTTCAAAGTGAAAAGCATTGAGTACGTAGACGAGGAATACAAAACAAACGGCCTAGAACCAATCATGGAAACTGTGGCAGAAGTGTTGGAAGACATGCCGCTGATGCAAGCAGAGCTGTTAGTGATCTCAGAGGAAACAATTGAAAACCTGCCTTCTAATATCACAGTTGAAAACAAAAAGCTATCGGGAGAATCGAATGCCGTAGTCTTTATTGGAGCTAACCTTCTGAAAAGAGTTGAGGTAAGCTCATAAATATAAACTTTTATTTCTATCTTTTTTTTTTGTATCTGTGAAAGTAGATTTTATATATTGTCAAATAGTTTCACTTAGTTCTAAAACTTGACTTTGACTTTGTGAATGTTCAATAAAAAGTCCATGAAATTACCAAAATTTCTGTATTTGTTGTTCTTACTTTAGAATTCGTTTTGGTTAAAGGTTCTACAACAAGGGATAACAACGCTACGTGATAAATGCTTTATTATAAGTAGAGAAAAAGATCGTCCTGACCCTAAGCGTTACTCCGATAAATATGATATGGTTTCTATTCATGACACCGGCGTTGAATACATAGTTCTTTTGAGAAAACGAGTTGGAGCGAGGCCTGCTAAATTTGTCAAGATTGTCACTAATGACCTCTCCTTTTCATGGATTGAAAAAGTCAAAGAAGAGCTTAAAGAAGGTCAGAAGGTTGTTCTTTACACTGAAAATGAGCACATCAATGGTTTGTTAGGTCTTGTGAACTGTTTGCGTCGAGAACCTGGCGGTGAAGTTGTGTACGCTATGCTTATTGCTGATCCTTCAGCACCACCTTTCAATCCTGATGTAGAAATGTATGAGGAACAATTAGATAAAGATTTGGCCATCAACATATTCCAAGATGTAAGTTTTAAATAATTCATAGTATAAATACTAAATTTAGTTGCCACAAATTTCTGTTTTTTAATAGTTAGCATGAATTTCAGAATCGTAGTAACTGGGAATTTTTTTTTTTCATATAAAGGCATGGAATCATATACAATTTTCGTTTTTACGACTGAGCTTTTTACCAGAAAAAGTGGACAGATATAAAAAGTAAAAATTGGTTTTTATTGTTTAAAAGAGCAATAAGTGACGCGAATGAAGGACCATTATTTATATTTTATTTCTTAATTATGACAGACGTGTATTTTGTTTTCTTCTAAAACGTTGCTTTTTACAGGGTCAATGGGGAACTTATCGTCATCTTCTACTTGGCGACTTGGATACAGTTCAAGCCAATCATGCTTACGTTAACACCATCACTATTGGTGACCTTTCATCTCTAAGGTGGCTCGAAGGACCAATCAGGCCGAATCAAGTCTTCAAGAATCCAGAGAGTGTGTTCCTTAGCGTGAGTTTCAACTAATATTAAAACATATACATGATTTTTTTAACATTATTTTTATTAAACAGGATCAAAACGAAGATGTTCAGGCTTAAGTTTTCCTATTAATTATTGATTTCTTTGAAAATAGATATGGACTGGTATGATTACACTGTTAAAATAACTGTAGCAGTTGTTAAAATAAAAACTTAAAAACAAATAGAATCGACTTCAAACTTTAAAAAACTGATAAAGGATACTTATCTCAAAAGCTACTTATACAAGAAAATGCAATTGAAGTCGGGTGGGCGGAGGTTTGGGCTTTTGTAGATTATTAGTTAATTGATATGATACCTACTTAAAAAAAAAAAACTTCTTGAGCATAGAAAATTCACCTTTCGGATTTTTAATTAATTCCAAATATGCAATTATTTGTTTTTTGTTGGAAAGTAACTTTTGAGATAAGTATACTTTATCAGTTTTTTAAAGTTTGAAGTCGGTTCTATTTTATTTTAGTTTTATTACATCGTCACCCCTTTCAACTCCCTACTGCATGGTCTCAAGCCTTCGTTATAGATGGTGGTAACGACTGCAAATGCACGGAGTAACTTGAGATATTCATTTTTGGTCACCCATCCCGTGACTGACCTTTGCAAAAGTTGCTTAACTACAACGACTACACGACTAAGTTACCTGGAAACTGAAATATTTTTTTATTGGAATCTAAATGTGTATTTATTTATTTTAAAACCACGACAACTTTTTATTGTATTACTCCAGAGAGAGTTTTCCATTTATGAATTTCTAGAATGAACATAGTGTAAAGTGCTTCCGACATAGATAATATTTAGCCATACATGTTTTTTTTGTAATAGCCCAGCCAACATTTCTAGCCGGGCCCTAAACCGCACCTCACTATTGTCAGCAGGCCTTTATTATTTATAATTTCTCATTCATTCCAATTCTCTCTTTTTCTCTAGTCCTTTCATGCTTAATTCCTATTCTTTCTTTTTTTCAAAATATCTTTCTTAGTTCGAGTGGATCGCCACAACTATCTCTTTTTCCTATCCTACTTATTCTTTTTAAATTATGTACTCCACACCTTTTCTTTATTTTATCTTATTCTATTACAGTTTTTACTTATCACATACTAGCTTTCGCCAGCGGCTTCGCCCGCGTGGACCCTAGGGAAATGTTAAGTGGGATAAAAAGTTATCTAAGTCAGCTAATACTCTATCTGTATATCAAATTTCATCAAAATCCGTTTAGTAGTTTCGGCGTGATTGATCAACAAACATCCAAATATCCAAACAAAGAAACTTTCACATTTATAATATTAATAGAATATATATTATTGATATAATCCGTATCCTTTCCTTTTCTGTTATATTGTTTTTTCTATTACGCTATTCTTACTTTACTCCATACATTTCTTCCCTATTAATATTATTTTAAATCTTTTTTTCTTTGCTTATTACTATATCATTTACTTTTTTTTTTTAATTCTAATTACACAAACTTATTCTATTACAATTTTTACTTTTTTGTACATGTTATTAGTATAGTTCATATCTTTCTTTTTCTATTACATTATTGTTTCTATTGCTTTATTCTTACTTTATTCCATACATATCTTTCCTGTTTATTATTACGTATTTTTAAGTTTTAATTCTAGATTACATTGCTTATTCTATTTGTTTTACTACTACTATTTTTCTCATACTCAAAGTTTAATACAATTTCTTATTTGCCCTGTTATTGCTTATTTCTACTTATTCTATGTTTTATATTTTCAACCCCTGGTTTTTGTCTTATCCTATCTTATTGTTACTTACATATTTTATTTGTCTCTTATCTTAAAGTTTATTTTATTTCTTTATTCTGTTCCTATTCCTATTTATTTAAAATTTATTTCTTTGGTTGTTTTTCCTTTTTCTTTATTTGGTCTTATTATGAGTTATTATGATCCTTACTTTTCCTATCTTATTTTTATTACATAATTTTCTTGTTGTTTGTAGTGTTGGATTTATAATTCTAGTATGTTATTTTGTATGTTTGTTGTTCATTTAAATAACTTTCTTCATATCATTATGCTTCGGTTATTATTGTCCTATTTCCATACATTTTGCCATACAGTTAACAGCACATCAGGCTAACAAAACTGTCAAAATTCTCCATTTCATTTTAAATCTTGAAGTATTGATAGTAAAGTATAGAGTTTTAAAATAAAATGTAGTAAGAAATTTAAGCTCTGCTATACTCTAGTATAAAGTAAAGTAATCTGCGCTAACGTTTCTATCAAAGAATTTTGCGTTGACTACGTTTTCGATTAAGTTTTGTGTAAACTTCAGAACTGTGTTTTCATCTGTATTTCAAATTGGATTGGATTAATATCTCTAAAGTTTTCAAAGATAAAGTGTTGAAACATATTGGATATTTGTTGTACTATCTTCCAACCTAAACATAAACAACAGCGTTTTTGGAAAATATATGCTGCCCAAAGTAATTATACCACGCGGACGAAGTCGCGGGCAATAGCTAGTATTGATATATTTTTAGTTTGCTCAGTCAAGTTATCTTATTCTCGATCCTCTTATTACTTCTATTGACCTCAGCTTTTCCTTATTTTTATAAACAATCGATATTAAAGGTAAGCTTTTTAACAAGCCAGAAAATTTTAAGGCTGTCTTGTAGTCATTCGTCTTTCGACTTATGGACTTATCATTAACCGACTTTAAAATCCAAAAAGAGGAGCTAACATGTTAGACGGCGATATATAATTATTATTTTTTTTATTTATGTTCACCGATATTTCCGCTGATTATTTTATTCGACAGTTTAATGGACCGAGGTGATCCTATTTAAACTTTACTAAACAAAATACGCTTTTCAATTAAATGATTCTATGACTTTGGTATTTGTTGTATTTACGAACTTAAACATCAAGGTAATTTCATTATCAAGTAACTATGCCACACGGACGAAGTCGTAGGCTAAAGCTAGTGTATATATAAAACTTCACAGGATGTATTAACATAAAGATCATATATATACATAGCATAAACAAAGGATGTGTCAGTAACAGCCTATATACCAATTTCCTTTCTTAACCATCCACAAGCTATATTTTATATGTTTTTCTCCGTGTACTTTTTTTATTATCACCTTAACTACTCTTACATCGATTTCATTGACATGGGATAAAATCAAAATACATTTAATGTTAAATACTGTATTGTCTGAGATACAGTGTGTATAATGTAGTAACGAAAGTTAAATGTATGTCGATGTAGTCTGAAATCGATGTACTTACGCAGTAGACCCGCTGAAGTAATAATAAATACTCAGGCATATTGTGCCGCCTTGAACTTCCGTGACGTGATGACGGCAACAGGCCGCGTGACTGTGGATGCGGTGGCTCGCGGCAGACTTGCTCAAGAATGCGTGCAAGGGTTCGAAGTAGTTGGAAGAACACCCAAGTAAGTTCCGAGTTAACTGTTGAAAGTATAATTATCATATAAAATGTATAATCACGAACAGTATCTGCTATTAGTTCTTTTTCAACGATTGACAGTGGTTCCCGAGTAATGGCGATGGTTCGTAACAAAGGACTAGCTAACGTAGTGGAAGGCGATAAGGCTCTCATGTGGTGCATTCCCGACGAATGGAGTTTTGAGGAAGCAGCCACAGTACCCGTTGCTTACGGCACCGTCTACTATGCAATGGTAAGAAACGACTATTAACAATAACTAATTTGTAAATGCACAGAAGTCAGTAATTAACAAATAATGGTACATACATACTTGGTTCTAAGATATAACTCTCGCTACCTGAATATCTTATATTATTAAGCCAATAAAAATAAAAAAAGTATCTATTTTTCTACATAAAAAAATATCGGTTTGCGTTTTTGTTAACAATTAATAGGCTTTCATAAGCTTACCGGACATTTTATATTACTACGTGTCAATAGTGTAACGGAGAAATTTAAACCCTACGGTCTATATACAGAACCTCACAAATTGATCATAGTGACTTAATGTAACGTTATTTCATCTATTCTTTTTTTCAATTACATGAAATGCCTTACATGAAACGTTTATTATTTGGATGACATCGTAGGTGATGGTAGGACAAGTGCAGCGCGGTGAGTCTATACTGATCCACGCCGGGTCCGGAGGTGTGGGTCAGGCCGCCATCAATGTAGCACTACACTATGGCTGCGAGGTGTTCACTACTGTTGGTACTGCTGAGAAGAGAGCGTTCATCAAGAAACTTTTCCCTCAATTAAAAGGTAGCGTATAGACCAAAAAATTTACTACATTATGTCGATAATTTTTCTTGAACTTTATTTCAAAAATTATCCTGTGTTATGATTTTAACGAATCCATTACTAAAGCTTAAGTTGTTGCACCACAGATAGTAATATTGGAAATTCGCGTGATACATCATTTGAAGACATGATAAGACGTGAGACTAAAGGCAAAGGCGTAGATTTGGTACTCAACTCGCTCTCCGATGAAAAGTTACACGTAAGTTTATACATTAATAAGTATTCTTTTATCTCTGTTGTTACGTTTTTAATATACACCGAGTTGATGTGAATGTATAGCGACAAATACCCACATACAGAAGAAGCTACGAGCTTTAATTACATACCTTTATATACTTTTAATTAATCTTAATAATAACACTTTAACTTAGTGTCTACTAACACTATTATTTATTAGTATGATAGAACAAACAATGAATTATGTAGATCTCCAATTTTCAATGTTAACGTGATTTTTTTTTCAATACGTGTTTTATATCATATAAAATATTATTAATTTGTCATCATTTTTCTAGCATTATCATTAATTCTATAGGAAAACAAAAAAAAAACAAAGATGCAATAGAAGGTATGAAATCAATATCAAAGAAAAGGTGACAGAGGATTGAGATTATACATCACGAAATATTTCCAATAAATCATGTAAAATTACGTAGTAAATTATAAATAATATTTTTTTCTTGCTGTTGTGAAATTATGTTTATTTTAGAGGTGAATTTGTTATTTTATATAATGTAGCTTCCCGTAGGTAAAAAAAAATCTCTCCATTTCCAAATATTAGGACGATTACTTTTAATTCGGACTTTGTTTCTTTATATATGGCCAATAGAATATTAGTGATTTTTAAATTAAGCGTTTTTTTATCATAAGGAGTTTATTTTACTCATCTCCAGGCATCAGTACGCTGCCTTTCCTATCGCGGACGATTCTTGGAAATCGGCAAATTCGACATCAGCAACAACACACCCATCGGCATGTACTTCTTCCTCAAGGAGACCTCCTTCCACGGAATCATGTTGGACTACATCTTCGATCAAAGTTTCGACTTCAGACAGGTCGGTAGAATAGGCCAGATAACAATATTTATTTTGCCTTTATTAAGTTTCTTGTACGAAATTATCCACTATAATTACAATACATAGTATAACGTTAAAATTGTGACATAATATGCGTGTTTCTTTTTTTATTAATATTCATAAAAATATTGAGATCCATAAAAAAATATAAAATAATCAATATCCTATCCTATCAAATGTTCAACAAAAATTGGTCTAGTTCTTGGTCGAATCTATATTGAAATCCATTTAACTACTTTCAACAAACTCGCCAGGAGGTTATTGAAACTCATCGCTGAATTTGAGATGATATTGCAGCTTGAATTTCTAAGCCCAATTTTTTTCAAATGAATAACAAATCAATCTTAAACTTACTCTGATGTTATTTTAGAGACTCCAAAACCTTCTTCTGTCTGGCATCGAGAGTGGTGCCGTGCGTCCTCTAACCTATTGTACGTTTGAGAAGAACCAAGTGGAGACTGCATTCCGATACATGGCTGCTGGAAAACACATCGGCAAGGTAACTGAGTTTCAAAAATAATATACCTTCTTACTAATCTAAAACTAGTGGTTTTACCAATTGCAATAAAGCAATTGTTTCAATTTTTTTTGGAATCTCATTTTTAAGTAAAACTTGTTTTCGCGTGATATTTTATTAGGATCAATTTTACTTAAGCTAGTGCAGCTGGGCCTAGAGAATAGCATTCATCCCATTAAGGTGGCTTAGACTTGTAAGCCTATAAACGATTCTTTAACCGTGTTTCAGAAGATAGACATTATTTTTTCTTTGCGAAAGTAAATAAAAACAAAAAAAAATTGAAAATTTATAAAAACAACTATATTTGTAATCTAATTTTCTCCTATAGATGAATAGCCAACAATAATTAGCTCCTAATTGAAGCAATTAGTGAAATCAATAAATGATATTAAAATTAAAAATTTAATTAAATAATAAGCAATATCACATACATTGCTCAGATTCCAAGAAGAGTAGCTAAAGCCCCCGTATTATGGAGTATTTGAGACAACGAAGGTACCATAATACCTAGACGCGAGACAATATAGAAAAATTGATTTTCTACATTGACCCGACCGGGAATCGAACCCGGGGTCCTCAGAGATAGCGACACCTTGAAACCGGCGTGCGAACCACTCAGCTACCAAGGTATTCAATGAAACATGGTTGTATTTTCAGAATTTTTAAGAATTTCTCCGTCTTTGTCTATGAGAAATGATACAATGATTTCATATAATAAGTATCATGAATAAACATAAATATCGACAAGCATCACCTTGACATCATGGCGTTAACCGGAGTTAAATTATGTGGAAAATTTCGGCTATTGAATCAACTTGCAACTTTTATATAAATTCTAGGTCATCATCAAGATACGAGATGAAGAACGCAGTCACGCAACAGTGAAACCCACCGCTGTGCCTGTTGATGCTGTCCCAAGGTGAAGATTAATTGTATATTATGGTTGCAAATTCTATATATGAGGTATAAGTTATAAAATAATACCTGTATTAATTCCAAGAACGCATATTAATAGGTTACCCTTAGGAAAATTACAATAATCTTATACTGTGAATCAATACCTTAATATTAAAAAAAACATTGATAAGGCTTGCTAATGTCGGACCGCCGCAGTCATTACATAGACCTATGATAACGAGGTCTAGTCATGCCCGTCTAGTGAATTCGCGGCTTTAGGGAAAAATATTTTCTAAGAAACAGAATATGCTTTTAAAGTTTTTATTTGTTGGTCATATGTATTTCTTTTATTTTGGCTACTTACGTCTTTTTACGGAAATGTTTGACGTAAGAGTAACTAAAGGTAATATAATAGTTTCAAATAGATTTTTTTTCTAAAGACAATCAATGTTATTTTGATAGCACCTATTTAATTCGGAAATTTAAAATGTTCACCGTTATATAAGAAAACGGGAAGCTTATATGTCAACATAGACAGACAATCAAACTTTTATAAATCACAAGACTTACATTAAAAAAAATATGTCTTTTATTCAGCAATTTATTTATAATAGCCAAAGATCATACACAATAACATCTACTCAAATGACGCCATGATTATTAACTAATATTAAGTACCTATACACAACTTACTGATATAAACATTTCCAACTTTTAATATACGTACAATCAAATTACAAAACCTCTGTCTTTGCCGCTAACTATCCACGCGTATATTACTTTAGTTTACAAAGTTGGCAATTTAATTTGAAGTTCTAAATTTAATTGAAATTCTCACTTTTGTTGATAGTGACCGCATTAGAGAGACCATTATTTCACAGAAATGTACGAGGGAAGGGAGTCTTTTTGAAATCAGAAGTAGTGTTGTTAAATTAATATAAATTGTTACACTATTAACTATAAAGAACATGCATTTTTTGTTCTATAACGACTAATTATATGTACAACCTATGACCTACAGACTTTAAAAATTGTATTTATTATTATGATAATACACATTTAACTATCCATAAGGAAGGCCTGAGCCCCTGCAGTGGGGACGTAAAAGAGCTGGTGATGATGATGATGACATATTATTTTGGTAATGACATGATTTATTTAAGTGTAATTACTTATGATAAAGAGCTGGTAAGTTTCTTTCGCTTGTCAGCTAAAAGACGTCCTGAACAAGTGGTAGGAGAAAAAAATTTTTTTTTGTGTTTGTAATAAGCCTACTTGAATAAAGATATTTTCATTTCAATAACATTTATATGTATAATCCAGGACCACGCGGTTAAACCACCGGCGGAAAGTTAGCTAGGTACTCATAAAAATAGCACGAGTATAATACCGATGCTTGAAACGAACCTTCTTGATAAACTAAGCCTAACAAATAAAGTTAGAGCAATAATTTTCAACAAAAGATAAATATAATAATATACAATAAAATCATTAGTCAAATCTGTCCAATTGTATGAACATAAACGGAATCATATAAATTATTTCTATTACTAGATACACATGCAATGAAGAGTTCGTGTACGTGATAGTGGGAGGTCTCGGAGGTTTCGGTCTAGAGCTCGCTGATTGGTTGATCCTTAGAGGCGCTAGGAAGGTACTGCTCACCTCCCGCAGGGGAATCACCAACGGATACCAATCTAGCAGACTCAGGTAATGTCAATTAACGTTGAACAATTAAAAAACAGTATTAATGTCAAAGTAGCTCTTTGCTAAAAATATCCAACTTGTATATTCAAAGTATAAATTGGCAAAAATACTCTTTTCAGAGCTTGGGCTGGCTATTGCGCTGACGTCAGAATCTCCACGCATGATATTACTACGGAAAGCGGCTGCGAGGAAATGATTTTGATGGCCAAATCTATGGGACACGTCGATGCCATTTTTAATCTCGCCGTCATTCTGAAAGATTCTGTCTTCCAAAACCAGACTGCAGACACTTTCAAGACTTCTTTCGGTCCAAAGGCTCTTGCTACTATGCACTTGGATAAATTCTCCAAGAAACATTGCCCGGGGTTGAGGTAAGGAAAATTATATCTTTATATATTCTGCTTAATATTACCTTCTTTAATCAATTACAGATATTAAACCCTCACATAATAATTCTTATATACTTTACTGTTAGCTTTGCTATGTAATTCTTCTTAAGTAACATTTAACAGTTGAAATAAGAAAAATATAAATTTCATATTTTTTAACATAATTGGGCATATATTATCTTTTGTTTCGTTTTACATTAATTTGTTGTATAAACGTTTAAACGTTACATTATATTATTTTTAAATATAAATATTACAATTCAATGTATATCCAAAATAATATAAAGCAATAATTACCCCAGTATCCATTCAATTAATTGCCTTGTTGTTTTTCAATATCGCTAGTAAATCACTAGTGTAATATGTCAAAGTAAAATGGCTTTTACACGTTTCTTACGCACTCTAAATGTCTATTAAGGTTGAGCGTGATTGGTTATTGTTATATTGGAGCGTTCTGATTGGCATTTTTGAAAGGCAAGTGTGTGTATATCTTTTGTATAATTGGTTAAATATTTCGTTTGATGTATGGCGGACCAAAAGTGAGGCAAGACTGGCGATATCGGTTTTCGTACAAAGAATGCATGATCGCCTTTTTAACTTCTTTTCTGTGTTTGTTGATAACAACGACCACAATTGCAATCAATCTTATACGAAACGTCGGGAAGTATAGGTAGGTGGCCTAATCTAACTATCAAAATCTATCGCGTTAATACCCGTCTTATACAATCTAATTTTTTTTGTGTATATAACCTGTATATTAATTTTCTAACCATTTGATTGTCTCGATGGACGGAATCTACATCGGTATGGTGTTCCTTTGGTGTTTATCCCGATACTTTTCCATTGTTTAGGGTTTATATAACTACTGGACATAAACTTTGCTATTATATTCTCCAGGTTCCATTTAGTAGCAAGTCAGAACTCACTGTCTTTTTACTAGTTCATTTGGCTGATGATCTATTGTTATATATATTTTTGCTTTTTTACGTGAATAGGAACTTCGTAGTCTTCTCCTCCGTCTCCTGCGGGCGTGGTAATGCCGGACAGACCAATTATGGGTTCTCGAACTCTGTGATGGAGCGAATCTGTGAATGGAGGAAGAAGCTCGGCTTCCCGGCTCTGGCTGTTCAATGGGGTGCTGTCGGTGACGTAAGTGCCGCTACGACTACTACTTCATTACGTCGATTAATAATATATTTAATACATTCCTATTAAAATTGCGATCTTACTTTAATCAGTTTAGTGAATATAATAGTAAATACTTTTAAAAGATCTAAATAAAGGTGTAAATAAGTATGAATTTATAACTTTTGCTGTGTTTCACTGCTGAGATTCCTAGTGGGTGAAGTTGTTTCGAAGCCAAGATGAGACTATACACGTTAAGCTAAAAATAACTGACTTAAATATTTAGGTCGGTCTTGTCGCTGATATGCAAGAAGAGGACGTTCAACTCGAGATCGGTGGTACTCTTCAGCAGAGAATCTCATCCTGTTTATTAGCCCTCGACAAATTCCTAAAGCAAGATGCGCCTGTCGTATCATCTGTAGTTGTCGCTGAGAAGAAAGCTGGTGGATCTGGTTGTGGAAATATTGTAGACGCTGTAGCTCAAATTATGGGTGAGAATTAATATGCTGACTATAGAAAAAAGTTTTTTTTTATTAGTTTGTATAAATTATTGATCGATTTCTGTTAGAAAACCAAACCTGCTTCTAAATATCTAAAATAGTCTGAAACAGTAAACTTACTATTCCCATATTTCCCAATTTTGATACTCCTATAAATATTAATCTGGTTAGTTCCCTACGGAAATTCGTGGGCGTTTTATTTCAAGGCTCAATATAAAATATTCTATTGCCCCTCGTCTCCACCGCATCTGAAGGCCTACTCGGCATGTGCAGAAATAAAAAAGATAAAATATAATCTTAATAGGCTAACTGCCCATACGTGATAACTATTTAAAAGGTTCAGTCGAAAAAGAAGCTATTTATAGTACTAACTTTGATTCACAAACGATTTTCAAATATATTTAAGGGAAAAAAAATAAGAAAGTTTCGCCTTCAGACATATAAAGTAAGCCCGTTTGAGTGACTGCGCGTGACGAAATGTTTATTTCCAGCTCCCTCATCTCCTTTTACAATATTGGGAATATGTCATCTCAATCCCAAGTAACGTTGATGGATAATGTGGTCTATGATGGATTTACGTGTGAAGAACTTCATGAAAGTATAGATGGCTTACAAACCATAAGAATTTTTAATACTATACAATGGTGATTAAAATAAAATAAGAACGCTTCTCTTGCTTTAAAAAATGACACTTTGGGACGTTTGGAGATATAATATTAAACTACATTCGTCAATTACTATAAAGTTTACAAAGGGTTTAGCCGGATACGTATGACGAGTCGGCCCCCAAATGGGAATCGATATTGAAACTTATGTTTTAATATCGACTTGATGTTCAAACACGATTTATGTACTTTTCGCGACCGACTTCCGCTTTGACCTTGAGATAGAGAGCAAAATATCCGTATGCTTGACTATTACTGAATGTGATATATCTCTGAAGCTAATTAAGATAAAGAAGTGAAACTAACGCGAGGTGTTAGGTTACATTACAGAGTATATCACATATATTTTTTTATAATTTTTAGAATAAAAAATTACATTAAAAAAATAAAAATAAAAAAAAATCATGTTTTTTTTCTGAGTTCTCTGTGACTTACAATCACGAAATTAATATATGTTATGCTCCTTTGTGTGCTCTATTACCCATAAAAATTGCGTGAAAAAAAAGTTGGTGCAACACAACGAAAAAAAATTATATGTGATTTCTGTCTTATGGTATACCCCTGTATTATAAGGTTTTCACATTACATCATCATAAAGTTGGTGCAACACAACGAAAAAAAATTATATGTGATTCGCGCCTTGTAGTGTGAGTGTATAAACAAACAAGTTCGAACTTGTTATCGAGCTGTTTACTGGATCGTTTGTTTAGCTAAAGTAGCAGTCATTTGTATTACACAAGAAGGCAGTTTGGGACTCAAATTCTGTCATAGGTATTTTGTATCAGCATTTTGAAATTATTAACTATTGAACCAAATCATTATTAAGGAATAATGTCGAGAAAGTGTAAAAATTGTAACAAGTACCTGTGTAACATTCCTGGTTATAAAAAAATTATAAAGAATGAAGAAGAAGCTAAAGTGTTTAGTGACTGCTTGAATAAAATCGTAATAGTTAATGATATTTTTTGTAAGAAGTGTCGACTTATCCCATATATTAATAAAAAAGCTTCTACTTCTAAATGTGCAGCATTTAACTTGGCCGAAATAATGGACGATCAAAATAATCTCTCAGTACAATATGTGAAATCAGCACCTAATATCATCAAAGCAGAAGTAAAATCAAGACATATAAATAGAAAAGTCTATCGAATTTACATTCACTATATTTCCGAAGGTAATGACTACAATAGTATTCTTCGTTATTGCTGTGATTGCCCCAATGGCAAACGTACAGTGGGATGCTGTTCTCATGTAGCAGCTATTATTTATTATCTATCATATGGACGATATTTGTCCAAAATCGTACGTCCTGATGAGGTCCTAACTAAGTTATTTGCGACTCAAAGTGTTCCGATTGTAATTAATTACAACAGTGACGATGATTAATATTTTGTTTCTTGTATTTTGATAGACACGAAAAAGTAATAATAATAAGTATTGAACACTGGCTGTTTTTTTTTTCATTTCTTTTTTAACTATTATCCCATCTCTTAAGACTAGTTACTTATGTTTTAAAACAAGCTGATGTGAAATTTCGAAAAAAAACAATGATGTAATGTGAAAACCTTATAATACAGGGGTATACCATAAGACAGAAATCACATATAATTTTTTTTCGTTGTGTTGCACCAACTTTTTTTTCACGCAATTTTTATGGGTAATAGAGCACACAAAGGAGCATAACATATATTAATTTCGTGATTGTAAGTCACAGAGAACTCAGAAAAAAAACATGATTTTTTTTTATTTTTATTTTTTTAATGTAATTTTTTATTCTAAAAATTATAAAAAAATATATGTGATATATTCTGTAATGTAACCTAACACCTCGCGTTAGTTTCACTTCTTTATCTTAATTACCTTCAGAGATATATCACATTCAGTAATAGTCAAGCATACGGATATTTTGCTCTCTATCTCAAGGTCAAAGCGGAAGTCGGTCGCGAAAAGTACATAAATCGTGTTTGAACATCAAGTCTATATTAAAACATAAGTTTCAATATCGATTCCCATTTGGGGGCCGACTCGTCATACGTATCCGGCTAAACCCTTTTTGTCCAAAAATAGTTTTTTTTTTTCAACATAAAACTTAAAATTGCCTAATATTGCTCACCTTATCTCATAAATAATAAGTCTCTTTGTAAGTAATTTTCAACAGCTACTTACATTAATTCTCTTATCATGTAATTCAAAATATTACTAATTTAAATTGATATGATCTAACCAAAATGATTAATATTGATTAAATCAGAAAGATTTAAAATAATTCTCTGTATTATAATGCCGAATGCGCTGAATTATGAGGATAATTTTTTTTTCTTGACTACAGATTAACAATTTTCCTTAATAAAAGAAATCAAATTGCGTAAGTAAATTCACAAAAGAAAAACTCATCACAAAACTATCCGAATCAACATTCGCTTTATTTGATAAATTAGAGTTATTTACATCTTGTGATAATGAGAATGAGGAGAATCAGTAAGTGTTTTAAACATTCATGTCCTTATATCTGTGGTTACCTTCATAATCAAGAGGTTTGTGCATTGTTTAAACCCTGGACAGTCGTTGACCGTCCGAAGTTATATGAGTTGTCATCATCTCCTATATCCTGGGTTCGATTCAGAGCCGGGTAAATACAGAAAATTAACTTTCAAATATATTTATTATTATTATGATTTATACATAAGAGATATTTTGTGATGAATATCTGAAATTCCATTTCTTACTGTTCTGACTCCATAAGTCAAATCCAACGGATTTATGCATTTCAGTATATATCAAATTCTTTTCAATGATAGAATCATATGCCATCGGTTTACAAATAATGTTTTAGGGTCGGGTTGAAGCAAACAAGATTGAACTCGCTAATGGTTATTTTAATCCCTATCTCTGTCACACGTAGTCGTAATTTAAGAATTGACACCGACATAATATTATTACCTTTCAAAATTAAAAAATGTTCTGGCAGGTATCAAGGACCTGAAGACTGTATCCCAGCAGGTATCACTCGCCGAATTGGGCATGGACAGTATGATGGCAGTGGAGATCAAACAGACTCTGGAACGCGAGTTCGAAATATTCCTTACTGCACAGGACATTAGAACACTTACATTTGCAAGGTAAATTATTATGATTCATACACTAATTGCTAAGCATTTTGTGTGGATTAATGGGCTCTAAAAGTATGAAAACACTATAGTCTTGCTTGATAGTTAACGAGAACGAAATCTCTACTATTAATTATTTCAAATTAGCTCACTTCGTGCGAAGTAAACCAAATTTTTTTGACAGTATACCGATGTACTTGCATAATAAAAAAGAAACCATAAAAGATAAAAAATAAACTGAATAAATAAAAGAATATAAATAAATTCGTTTAATTTTGAATGAAATAGTCGTTATATGAACTCCTTATCTCGCGAGATTGGGACACGGGCGAGATCTCACGAGTTTATGAATGTCAATATCGTGAGATCTCGTAATTGGTGCGATTGGCACTTTTTGTTTGCTGTTATATTTATTTAAATCACAATATTTGAATAAATTAGGAAAAAGTAATAGAAATTAGGAAATTTTATGTATTTAATATTGTTTGACGTAATTACATATTTTTAATATAAAACCTTTAAAGAGCAATTCCTGTATTATAATCTCGGAAACGGCTGCAACAATATGCAGGGGCTTTCAGAGCCGATAAATCGATTTTGTTTGGTTTAATTTTTTTATATTATAAAAGTGCGGGTTATGTCATTATTACGAATAATTTTGAGAGTAGCTTCTTAAAATCAGCACAAAATGTCCAAAGTGCTGGCCAGATAACCAGCTAATAAGAAGACCCTTTCGAATACACAAGTACTGTAAAAGTGTAAAACTTCGCCGTTTTACTCCCCGGACTCGCATAAATTCAAGCGGCCGCACTTAGAATAAATCGTTTTTATGCTCGAGTGCAATCTCGTTAAAGGTCTCGCGAGGTCTCGCTCATTTTTCGACCGAGATCAATCTCGCTAAAAAAGGCCGAGATCTCGTTTTCGAGAACAAGATTGCATACCCTAGTATATCCATCTATAAAATTCAGGCAGGAACTGAGCAAATAGTATTCTTTCATAAATTTTACAAATACTAATTTGCTTATCATAGGTTGGTAGAGTTAACTGCTCAAAGAGAAGCGGCTGCATCAACATCAGCACCACGAGCGGCATCAAGTGATGGTACTGCTGGATTGCGCGTACTCATGCGTAACTTTGGTGATGAAAATATTATCTCTGAGCCACTAATATACATGCCCACCATGGTCAGCGACGGCGTAGAGGTATTAAACTGTTTCTTTTCGTTTCATTTGTCTGAAGATGGAGAGACAAAATATTTTCCATATCGACCTATTTCATGCAACAAAAATTTAATAAAGAACAGAATTTTTAGGGCTAAGATCTTACTACCCGCAGTTAACGTTTTCAGTATATTCTCATATTTACAATAATTTCAGCATTATAATTTTTCAAGTAGGAAAGGTGAGTTATACTTAAAAATTAACAATTAATATATATTACTAGGGTGAAGAGGCGATCCACGTGATGAAGAATGTAATGTTCGTACTGCCAGGATTGGAAGGTGCGGCGTCCGTGATGGAGCCACTTTGTAGACGACTCAAGATAAAAGTGTGTGCCCTACAGTTGGGCGTAGAACACAAGAACGAAACACTGCAACAAATGGTTGATAGATTACACCAGGTATAGTAACTATCGTAGAAAAGTCTATTATACTCGTATTTTACTAAAAACTTCCATTAAGATCAATAGTTCAAAGGGAGACCAACATTTTACTATTTTCATTTCCTACCTTTGTTTTTTTGAATTCCATCTACATTGAAGAAATGTTGAAAAAGAAGAAAAAAACTTGAGAAAAGAAGCCTATTTGTACTTAACGTTGTTACTTGTTTATTGGTAATTTAAAAATTAAATTAATAATATAGTTTGTTCAATATTGATAACGTTTTACAAAATGAGAAAGCGTAGGCCCGGTGACTTTGAAAAAGACCCGGTTTCTCGAGTTCTAGTCTCAACTGAGGGCATACTGAGGGTTTTAATAGGCAGGCACTTTTGACCAGCTCCTTCTTCATATATACAAGTGTATTTCTGTGACCCATTGATATTATTGGAAAATGGATGCTAACAATACATTATGCTTTTCCAGACGGTGCGTTCCCGGCTTGCACCAGGCGCCAATTTCTGGATTCTCGGTTACAGTTTCGGAACATTATTAGCGCTCGAATTGGCTGCTAAATTGGAAAGCGAAGGCAACAAAGGCACCGTGTTCTGCTTAGACGGTGCCCCAGACTTTCTCTATGCAATTCTTACTATGTCTATCAGCTTCACAAACGAGTTCCAATTACAAAATAGTCTAATCTGTCACACCATAGATATTGTAGCGCCAAACAATGATGTCACTAAATCTTTGATGATTAAACTCAACGAAATAGAGTCCTTCGATGAAAGAGTCACATGCGCCGTCGACTCCTCTCCAGTTCAAAGCAAGTACTCAAAGAAATTCATCGGGGCGATGGCGATTAATAGCCTCGACAGACTCAAGGTCGTCTTGAACTACGACACAAAAGATATCAAGAAACTCAAATCTCCTATAATACTGCTGCGTCCGAAAGACAATCCGCCCAATGTTGTGGTAGAAGAGAACTATGGCTTAGATAAGTATACTGAAGCAGGTGTGACTATTCACTTCTTGGAAGGGAACCACGTCACAATTGTTGAAAACAAGGATGTAGCTAATATAATAAACAGAACTCTTCTAGAAAACGAACCACAAAAAGTAAAGCCTACTGAGAATATTGTCACCGGCATGGTAGAGAACCAGCGCCATATGGAAGTTTAGTTATGATGGAAAGAAAATTAGGGAAACAATTAATTATATTTAGTTTGCTAAGTTTTTTCAGTGATTTAATATTTAATGTTGAAAGGGGAAACTTTATATTAAGTTTAATTTATTTATATTTAAAAAGTGGCCGTATTTAATAATAAACTTAGTGACTAATTTTATAAGCTTAAAGAGTAATTTTTTATTAAGTTGTCTTGCAGACACCAGTACCTAATCAAAATAATCAGTTTCTTTTGCTAAGTACGCGGGAGTTGGAAATTTCTATTTATTTTTTATTGTCTTGGTAAATTTGTTTCAGGTTATTTTGTTTTTAATTTGATATTTGATAGGATGTATTGAATAAGAAATTTTGAATATATTTTTTGTGGATTTTAAGTTTACTTTATTCTTTATTTCTTCATTGTAGAAACTTCCATGATGATATAGAAAGCAAAATAATTGGTATACTCTTTCGGTCATCTGGAGCTATTAATGTCCTGTAAGTAACTGGTATTTCGAGTGACACAATCGTTACCTTATTCACTTATGTGTGTGTGTGACTATGAGAGTTCCTCTATCAGTTATTATTACAAGCAGCCAAGTCAATTGGATATTAAGTCCTGCATGTAATTTTTATCTTAGTTGAACATTGAGATTTTTCACCGCCACTTTCTTGAGGAACACAAAAAAATGTGTATATGAAAATATAGACGGTTATTTAATTAAAACATGCAACTTTGCAGGACTAAAGAGCTGAATCATATACAAACAATTACAATGATAATGATAACAATCTCAGGCACTAGGCCTGATACGAATTGGATACCGAGGAGTATACAAAAAAATCTTTCTGTTACAATGGATACAGTTTTCTAATTTCGATTATTAATTATTATTCTAGTATAAAATTATTTTACTTATAAAGAATAAAGATTTGATCAAAACTTTCTTCGCATTGAATAGGCACCGAAACTACAGGACCGATTTTTTTAAAAATCACCTATGAAAAAAAGAATAATCGGTAAATTCCTATTTAAGAAGATTTTCTTAAATAGGAATTTACCGATTATAAACCGAAAGAACTTGGGACCTCTATATCGCTATACAAATTATTCGTTTAACTGGAAACGACTACGAAGAATGCGTCCTTATTCAATGAAGTGTATGCACAGTCGAAAGAAGTTCTTAATGAAAGTAGGGGAAAATCTTATATCTAAACGTATTGTTACATAAACTGTATTTGATGAATATTAGGGAAGTTGCTCTTGAAATATTAAGTAATCATCTGTCATATCAATCTTAATGTGTTAAAGTGGGTGAATACTTCAGTTCACACGGAGTTCTTTTGTAAGATCCTCAGGGTAGTATTATGGGACCAACGCTTTTCTTTATTGTGGCAATTGATGTATAGGCAATGCTTGGAGATTAGCTGACAATAAAGATTTAAAAAATATGATGTGTTTTGTACTTCATTTGTTAGGGTGATAAAATAAGAAGAAGGTTACGGAAACTTTTATGGCGTGTGGAAGAAGAAATGAAAAAAAATATGTATATGCCTGTGGCGTACCTTCAAATGGAAATTTAATTTTCCTTCTCGCTAATTATGTCTTTAAGTATAAAGACTATAGTGGGAATTCACAACTTAGCAAAAATGCTATTCAGTAATTTATTATTAAAAGCTCGCTCGCTGAAATCATTTTGCGATCAAGTTAAACACCATTTCCTTTCCAGATCATGAATTGTTATCATAATTTACACTTTTTTTATCTAATATATCCATTATACTTCCTTTGTATTCCTTATTTAAGATATATTTGTTCTTTCTTCTACATGTTGCACCTATTATTATATATTATCTATATTACCCATATTATTTATCTATTTTCCTCCATAGGTTGCCTGGAAGATTTTGCTATGTAGCAATAAGGCTGCCTTTTTGTATACAGTTTTTCTTTTCTCAAACTGTGTAATTTGTTACTCGTTTTGTGTGTGCAATAAAGTATATAATTATTATTATAAAATCATTTATAATATATACAGGAATATTTTTTTTCAGTGCAAAAATTTTTTTGGTGATTCAGTATCAGTAATAGAACACTTTTCCATAATTAGTAAAATTTTTTTTAAAGTTATTTTATCCCTATTGAAACGGTAGAATATGGACACATTTTTTAAAATAAAACTTCAATGAAAACGTCTTCTCTTGCGTATACCACCGTGCATCCCCGCCGCGCCCGGTAGCCCCCCGCCACAGCCCCCGCCGCCCCGCCGGGACTAAAGATTCTGCTGATGCAGCGGTATCTAGCTGTAAGCATTTTAATATGTAGGGGTTGTATATAACACCTCCCCCCATAAAAAAAGAAACTTCTATGAGAACAGAAGTTTCTTGTTAGATTCTAGAACGTAAAGTAGGCAAAGGTATATTTTCAATACTATTTTGGTCTACGTCTTGTTCGTCTGTCGATGTCCGAGCTTGAGGGGTTTCACGGTTAAATAATTTAGAGAATTCGAAAAGGTTGCCACAGAATTTCATTCTACAAATTTTAAGAATAATATATATTACTAAGATTATACAAATAAAAATGGTTAAAATTGAGTAGTGTGTCCCATATTCAATTATATGTGGTTTTTCGATAATTTTGACTAGTTTCGTGGAGAATTTTAAAAGTTTATTCCCTAATTTAATTTCATCGAGGTCAATATTTAACAATTTAGTATGAGGTACATTCTTCGTAATGCTATTAAACTTATCTAGGTTACAACAAGTAGAACAAGATTGAAGTCGGAGACTTCAATCTCATAAATGAAAGCAGAGCTAATATTTCTGTGTCTCGAAACTTGAAATTTGGTACAGAGGTTCCTTTTATGACGTAAATGAGCACTAAAAAAGGTTTTATTTTCAAATTCAGCCCAAAAATTGAAACCATATAGGGGTAAAATGGGGTTAGAAATAAAGATTAAATGGAATTTTCACGTTTCTAAACTTAACGACGTAATAGACGATGATTAGTCGTAGTTTCAGAGACCAGAAGTGCTATTTTGTAATAAAAACAGCCTGGAACATAATGTCGAGCACCACGCTATCACAGCATAGAACTTTATTACGTTTTGAAGTCTATACTGTGACAGCACTGTGCCGTCGAGTTTGAATCTTTTTTTATTACAATATACCACTGCTGAATACCGAAAATATTGTCCTAAAATTTTGGAAACAGTTCTATATTTGTAGATTGTAGATTATAGGAATACTTATAAATGAACTAACTCATTATTTGCTTGCCCTTTTGTTAATTATTTATTTGGGGTCGGCGTAATATATGTTAATTACATTGTGTTTTTCCATAGTCTTGATCGATTGTCTAAAATTATATAATTACGCGAAACCTTCTGTAGGCGAAACGCACGCTCTTGGCTGGTTTTATATAAACTTATGATCTATAAACATGCTGAAATGTCCTATTTCTCATATTTAAATAATATTTTTCACTCTCGCAGAAGAGTTAATAAAGAGATACAAATAAACTTATTTATAATGTTAAACGGATTTCCAATCTAGTTTTTAGCTTATCTTAATAAAGTATCAAAGAATCCATAGATTGTATTACAGCTATTTGATTTAATTACTAACTTCAATAAAGTCGTCTCCGGATTAGCATCGGCTTCAAATTTTGATGTTACACTCGTAACGACCAGGGGCGGATTTCGTTTAATGGATCTGAGATCATCTTAATAATAGTACTTACGAAAAGAAATATGAACTAAATGGTTAGATTTACAGGTGAATTTGTAATGTATCTCTCTTAAACAGCGCGGTATTTAACCTCGGAAGCTAGGTGTGGAGCACTCCAGTAGCGGCGTTAGGGTAGGGCGCGGTTGGGCGACCGCCCAGGGGCGCCGGACGAAAAGGGGCGCGGCACCCCCTTTTCGTCGGGCTCTTCTTTCTGATTCTGTATAGTGAGGAAGTATTTAAAAAAAACGAAAGCACTGCAAAATACCTCCACCTAGATGGCGACTCTAGCAAAAGTTGATTTTTGTAGGAAACGAATGAAACAAAGACAGTAATTTCCGTTCATTTTAACTAACATATTAAAAAACTGAAATTTAAAAGTTCGAAACTTAGATATAAATACGAAAAAGTACAAATAGAATATGAGTTGTTAATTGAGTTTTGAAAACTAATTTACTTTTAAACATGAAAGAAAACTGGAAGGGTTGTCATGGAGAAACCAAGAATATACCGTAACGACATCTAGTTTGATTTCGGGAACTTATGTTTTTCTTTCCAATACTTCCTCATTTCCCACAGACGCCCTCTTATAGTTCCCTTGTTCATTGAACAAGGCCTACTGGGTCGGCGAAAAAAGAACAAGAATCTTGAGGATTTTTTTTTATTTTCAAGTTGCCTTTTAGCATGAATTGAAAGGAAACTTAACAAGAAAAATATTATATTATGGTAAAACAGAACAACATACCGATTACCAATATGAAGATATGTATTTTATAAGGTAATATGACGTACATTGGCGGGCATTATCGCTCGATCATTTAAGAAAATTTTCGTTTGAGCGTTAAATTTTTAAACGTTAAGCTGAAGCTAAAATGCTGCAATACAAACGAATGCATCGGCAGTGGAGCCTCTGTCTGGCAAGTCAGATGGAATAGCTACTCAAGAGATTGTGGATGAAAAATCCCAATGTAAGGGAGCAAGTTGTGCTATGATTACAGATACTGCTTAGGATAAATCTGTTATTGATGTACAACAAATACATGTACTAGATGATGTTGATACTGTTGTCCCGAATATAGCGGATCCAGCTACTTGTCCGCTTATTCAAAATAGCAAAATAATTGATCATATAATAAGTAGTGGCCCACTGCAAACTCACTGTCAAAAAGTTACAACAATTACACAAAGTTATAGATAACAATTATGTGGCACCCTGTTAGGGTAAAAATGAATCTGTGCTTACCTAATGATGTGATCCGTCAAAAATGAATCAGCTACTTATACACTATTT